TGCTGAAGAAGAGACCGCCGGACAAACGTATGTTTCGATATCGCCTTCGTGAATTGGCTGTCTTTAACCCGTCACCTCTTTTAGACTTGACCGTTGTAACCAGAATAGCCAAAGGTTACCTTTCACCTTGTCGAAGTGCTGCTGTACCCGAAACGGAATCTGATCAGTTCTATTCAACCATCAAGCGAGGCAAAACATTTCTCGTAGCTTCGTTCTGCCTTTCCGTTGACGTCCTGACTTCTGCACAGGCAGGGCAAGCCGCGGGCGTGGCTTGACGGTTCTCCAGCCATCACCCGCAGGTCACTGGGGAGGTAACTAACTGCAGCAGTTATGTAATCATCGTGATCCCGTGAATCCTAGCCGATAGTAATGACGGTACCATGAATCGACTTGACTCTGCAGCAGCAGGACCAGCACTCTCTGCGTATTTTGCCGGGCTGTACCTGCAGGGCGAGGTTCACGACCCACAGCAAGGTGCCGCTGTTGAGTTGGCAGCTGAAGCTTGGTATGATAGCTACTTGCATGAGCTCCTACAGAAGAGTAGGCTCACACCAGCTTGCAGAGCAGAGGGTCCGAGATTGCAAATCTAGATTCGTAGAAGACGGTGTGGGTGAGCACAGGAGTCCAGCACTACGTTTTAAAGAGCACATCTATTTACTTGTTGGGCTTAGAAGCAGAGACCCACCAATGCTTGTCATGTGCCGACGACTACCAGTGACGACCGCTGTGTCACTATGTGTTACTATGAACCATGGTTCAAGATCCAAGAGCAGCAAGGCTATGGAGATTCACAATTTCTTCCAGACCAGGTGCGACCCTCTAGAGGATGATATTCTTGCCGGTTCTCCCTTCTCGTCTCGCTAAGGCAGGCTCCAGTATTTGTTGCGGCAAGAAGGAATGCTGCGCTCGCACGGTCTCTTCCTTTGCTTCGGCCATTTCGGCCCTGGCTGCTTTCCGTGGTGCCATGTGGTGGCCATTTTGTCTCAGTCTCGCACCATCTCGCGTCGATCCCGTTTCGCAAGATTGTAGCTGTTCCTCCTCCCCTCCTCGTGGCCTTGGGGGTGCAGTTGGCCTGCCATGTCCAAGATGATGTGTCAAACCGCTTTCGAGCTTGGGCTCATCTGACGGTTTTCTGCCCAATCCTTATCTCGTTGCAGACTTCGAGTTCTGCTCTTTCGTAGCGCTCGCTTCGATGCCTGCGCATCGAGAGACGCCATGTTACACCCGACGGCAGAGACCGTCGATCCAACGGCTGCCGTTGCCGTGACGTCCCGACTTGCCCGTTGCAGTGACCGACATGAAAGGTGTATCTTCAAGCACAACACACACACACTGAAATTCAGGAAGTCCTGTCTTGGTCTCAGTCTCAGAAGACGCAAAAACGTTGTCATGGTGAGTGAAGGCATTCGCGTTGAGGGCAGCCGTATGGACAGGGGCTGCCAATATTGCCGTGACCATCGCGCAACTCTAGGTCGGAGAGATGTCGTCTGCTTTCAACATGCTGTCTGGAACGGCCGCCGGTTGCGCTGAATCTTCGTGGATGCGAGTGCAGGTGCCGAGTATACGGCCGCAGTGGAGGAGATCATCGAGCACTCCCTCGAGACCTGTCTGCTGTAAACTGCTTTGCGGTTGCAGGGCCTGTGGGGCACTGTAGGGCGGACATGGCCGTGCTGGTTTTGCATCGCCTTCCGGCTCCAACGAGTTCCCAAGTTGCGTTTTTCTTTTTTGTATCCGGTAGTTGTGTTGGAGGTGGAGTATGGAATATGGAACCGTTGTGAGTTGCTGTTGTGGTCGCCGTAGTGTCGACGGAAGAGTTGCTTCGTCTGTGCTATGGGTGGTGGCACTTTTTGATGCAGGATATCAGAGTCAGAGCATTGCAAACATGTTCTAGTCTGTCTACACCAAGGAGCGGCATGTGACGGTTTTCGAGCACCGGGCCACTGGGATTCGCGTGTGGGCTGAGGTGGGGGAAGTGGGAAGTGACATAGTGTTGGGATGGCTTGACGATGGAGAAAGCGTAAAAAAGCTGTGGCACAGCCACGAAATCTGCCGACTGGGTCCCAGCCTGGAAGGCTGGCATCACCTAACGAAAAGCTGGGAAGCGACAAGGTCTAGGTGACCCAGTGTCATTCGTACACGAAGCGTTTCGAGATCTAACTTGGACATTGCTGTGGCGAGGTCACAGCAATATTAGGGAGCTCTGAGAAATGTACCTAGAGCTTCCAGAAATTTTGTTGAGTCGACTCCACCGGTGCAGTCCCACCCACCACTCCTAGCAATCCCCATGGCTGCTTGAGTGGGGTTTCAGCATCAGACCTTCTAGAGTGCTTCTAGTCTAGCCTAGCTCTTTTTTGTTCCAGCCGTCCGCATGTCATTATCAGAGATCAGCTTTCCGACAACAAATGCACTGCCTGCGCAGGCATTGGACCTGCGGTCGGCTCGGCCAGGCTGTCGGACGGAGGTGCTTTACCACTACACCACCAGGCCAGTGGGCTTCATCCAATGCCACTTCGCCGCGGCAACCGTACATTCAACCCGATGATTGGCCAGGGAAGTCTTCACTACCTTTCTCGATCACCGACAGCCAGTTCAGGAGGCTTTGGGTTGGTTGGGTGAGTCCAAGAAGTATGCATTGTGGAAACACGCGGATTGCTTTTGCTCTGCATGTCCCCCCCACTTCGAACTTGAATGGTTGTTCATCTGTGTAGTTCAGGGTTGCGGTACTGAACCTCTTGACTCGCTAACCCACAGTCACGTTTCGATGGTATGGTATGGGTTACGCAGCGTGTTATGGCGCAGTGAAACGCTGACCGACCGGGCAGTCCGAATTCCCGCGGCACCGGAAGAATGCCGGAATCGTTGCCCTCTGCCGGAAGGCCTTTCACCCAAAGCCGAAAAGGCCCGAAAAGGCAATCAGACAATAAGACACCAACGCCGCAGTCTGAACAACCGCTGTGCCGTTCCAAAGTTGCACGTGTGTGACCTGTCATGACCTGTCCATCACCTGGCGGTTTCGCAAAAGGATGCCCCAGACAGGGCAGGTGCCTTTGGCAGTTGCCTTTGGAGAAGAGCTGTGCCAGAATTGAGAGCCTGCTTAAGTTGTTGCTATTTGGACGTGGCAACGCCTGCCATACATCGGAAGTATTGCACCTAAATTGCGTACTTTGTCAATACTCTGGAGCCTTTACCATGCAACATCAGCCAGAATCTCGCTGCGCTTGTCTGTCCGTCTGTCTATCTGTCTGTCTGTCTGTCTGTCATGTCCTGTGTGCCTGTGTCGATACATGGCCGATTCGCTGGTTCCTGCTAGGGCATGGAGCCAACAAATCATCACATGCAGCTTCTACCAAGAGCTCGGATCAATCCGGAAACCTACAACGACAAGCAGCACACCGGCCTGACTTTTCGTGCTGTGAGAACTGCAGAGCAGTGGAAGCGAAAGACGTTTCGGTGCTCTGTGTGTCCGGGACGAAGACATGTGGGTGGTTGTCAAAATTAGGGTCCCTTTTTGGTATCCTAAATATTAGGTGCCGTACAATAATAGGGACCGAAAAAGGGACCAGAATTTTGACAACCACCCATGTGCTGCAATGGGCAGCTCACTGCAATTCACTTTGGAACATGTCTATCGTGTTTTTCAGTCGGATCGTTGAAGGTCCATCCAAGCAGTAATATTGCAAAGTGGGGGTACCCTGCAGCCAGGCACTCAAGTCCTTGTGCTATGGTGTTCGGCGCCCGGATGTCACTAAATCGCAGAGTGTGCAAGCAACCTGAATGGCAGTGGTGCCACACCGCCACTCGAGCTGGGGCTACATGAGCTTGGCAACTTAAAGTCTCTTGGCAGTGGAGGCCTTCTTGCATTATGCGAGCAAGTGACCCAGGAGCCACTCAGCATGAGGGCGAGCTCGAGGTGGGGATGCGACAGTTTGTGGCAGCCACTAGTGGAGGTGAAACAGCGAAACACCACTGATTAGTGCCCAGGGGCCATGTTCTCTGCACACCTAGAGTCTGTTACCATAACCATGCTATCCCGTGGTTGGCCCACAGGCGGAACACCGCATCTCACCACACAAACGGAACTCAGCCCACGCTGCTCCACAGCAGATCATTCAATTGCCTGAGTGGTACTCTCTGTTGCAGGGAGCCGAACCAGCTCCGCAGCACCCACACGAACTCCTGGCGAGTTGCACTTTCCGGTTTGGACATTCACGAGTGGTGTTGGATACTCGGATGACTGGTTCAGGCACGCCGCCTTCAGCATACCCGTGCTTGTGCCCGCAAGCTGCTGTGCCTTGGAATGACAAAGCCGGAGGTGCAACATCCGATGTTCCCTTGGCGATTGATGGCCAAGGTGAGCAGGCACCTGACGAACCCGAGAACTGCAGGATTCCCGGCATTCGATCGAAGTTTTGATCCGCAGCCTGCTCACTTTCTCACGCCATAGTCGCACATTGAGCCAGTCGATCGGCAGTCAGCGCAGTTCGAAAGCAGCGTTGATACCGAGACCTTCTGAGCTTCTCGGTTGGCGATTTGCAGAGGGTCGCCATGTCAGGATCCCAGGATGACACTCCACGGCAAAAGCAGAGAGAATCAGACAGCTCTGCAACAGTCCTTTAAACTTTGCACCGGAACAGGCTCGGTTGGACCTGCTTGCGGCCGAAGTTGCTTGACAGGTGAGGAACCCATTGACAGCAGACATCACCGGGCTCAGACTGCTCTTAACTTTTCTGCAGGCCCTGGGCGCAAAAGCCCGGCGAACTGCGAGAGGCTGGTGGCTAGCGGTTTGTCACTTCAAGGCCGAACGGAGAAGGCGCCAGATTGGCATGTTCTACGATTCGATGGCTCGTGGCCGTGGCGTGGCTCGCAGAATGGAACGTATTTGCTCATGCGCACCCAAACCAGATTGATTATTAGCACGGTTAGTATTCTTGCAGCACTGCCCCACCATTCGAGACGGGTAGACGGGGGAGCTCTCCACAGCCTACGTCCCTGCTGATGTCATGTCCAAAGTGCGAGCCAATGTGATTGGCAATGGCTTTGCCAGGTTACGAGGAAGCTTGGCAAACTAGGGAACTGTCAGTGAGCCTCGATGTATATTCCCTCGCTCTTTATATATGTTCACATACTATATGTATATAGTTTATACCTATATCTATACCTATATCATCCTATATCTATCTACCTATATCTATATCTATATTTACATGTATATATATATATATATATATCTCTCTCTCTCTATATATATATATATATGATTGTACGTATGTATGTATGCAGGAGGTACCACAACAACGTGTAGTCTAATAGTATACTGCAGTAGAATAGAACAGATCAAAGTATTAATGTGGACGACTACTACCACTACCACTACCACTACCACTACCACTACCACTACCACTACTACTACTACTACTACTACTACTACTACTACTACTACTACTGCTACTGCTACTACTACTACTACTACTACTACTACTACTACTACTACTACTGTATAAACTAGTATGGCATAGTATAGTATAATATAGTATTATGTAATACGATATAGTATCATATAGTATAATATTATAAAATGTAATGTAAGATAGTACAAAGTAGTACTAATATAGTACAATATAGTATAAGCTATAATATAGTATATAGTATAGTATACTATGCACGGGTCCGATGGGTCCTGCAGTTGAAGAATGCGTCGAGGCGCCAGGTACTAGTAGTAGTAAAGGTGGTGGTAGTAGTAGTAGTAGTAGTAGTAGTAGTAGTAGTAGTAGTAGTAGTAGTAGTAGTAGTAGTAGTACCAGTAGTCCCCATAATCCGGTTTTCGGGTTGCAGGTTCTAATTGACAAATGGCATCATCAGGCTGGACTGCTGGGCCTTGTGACCGCTCCGACAGTGCTGTGTCTACAGATTAACCGCTTCTGTAGTGATAGCCCCAGCCATGACTCCCCCACGAAAGCACCTCACAGAGTAGCACCTGAACCGCTTATCGTCCTGCCTGCTTTCACCGGTAGTCTGGGCACTGGGCAAGCACTGGAACAGCGTTTTGTCACCTACCGCCGCATCGCGGCGCTGTTGCACTACGGCAGCCGATGCACTGAAGGTCACTACCGCAGCCTGCTGTACCAGCCGCATGACACAGGCATACTCATAACGGATGATAACCGCTCTGCGCAGCGATGTGAGAGTGCCGCGCTTGCTGCAACATACAGTAACACATATGTGTTCTTGTACCTTCGGTGCACAGCCTGACGTACCTAGCCTCGTAAGTTGGCCCACTGTTGTTAATGCCCTGCCACTGTGTAACGTGCGTATTTGTACAGTCCTAGATCCACTCGATACATAGTCGGCCCAACTTTCAGTTTCGCTTGTGAGTGCCTGCATGCCTGCTTACAAGGACCTTCGGGTCGGGGCATGCAGATGGGATCCCAAGGGACGGATCGCGCAATGCGCCGGGGGGCAGCCCTCGCCTCAATACTGGACCGCCGAGCGAGAGACTCTTTTCGCAGCGACCGGAAGAAGTAGTAGTAGTAGTAGTAGTAGTAGTAGTAGTAGTAGTAGTAGTAGTAGTAGGCACCCCCACCCCCTACCAACTACACTTGCTCTTAACCATGTTAAGACAACGTCCATTTTACTCGGTATTTGCGGCACTTTCGTCATGTGCGATCATCAGGAGAACCCTCAAAATCGACTTGTCGAGTTTGCAAACTCGGGCTCTTGATTTTGGGCTTGCTTCTGTGCGGGGGTGGGGGGGGATGATGACGACAGTGCTATGTGAACACACCCAACAGCATCACCACAAGAGCCGTTTTACTCGGTATTTATAGTACTTTCGGGATGTCGGACTTTGTTACATATTCTGACCCCCTACTTCTCGACTATGCGTATTAAACTTTGTTGTTTCGGACTGTTTGCAAAAACTCGAAATTGGGTGGGGGAAAACTCCTTCGGGGATGATCACGACACTGATTTGCGGACACCCTGAACAATATTTCCACGCTCAAGCGCGCACACACCACACACACACCACTTCAAAAGCAGACCCTCCTACGCCGAGTTTGGGCGGTAGGGGTGTTGGCGAGCCCCTCCCACGTACAGCTGGCATCTTTGTTTTGGATGTTTAGAAGATGTTGCGCTTCAGGTTTTAGAAATGTGAGACCCTTCTTGGCAGCACTTGGGTTTTGCACGGTATTTACAGCGTTTTCGTAATATCCGACCACCTGCGGTTTAGCAGTTTCTTCCCCGTCGAGCTTGCAACTCCGGCTGCTGTCGCAGTTTTGGGGCCTGAGCCCTTGCAACTTCACCGGCTGTGACAGTTAAGGAAGGAAACTGAGCCTCTGCAACTTCTGCAACCTGTCTCAGATAGGGAGCTTGAGCCCGTGCATCTTCTGCCACTGTCGCAGTTAAGGCGCCTAGCAGCTACCGCTGCCCAGCCCGGATGGAACAAGTGTAGTTGGTAGGGGGTGGCTAGTAGTAGTAGTAGTCGTAGTAGCAATAGCAGTAACGGAATGGAATACCGGCTCGATGACTAATGGCGACTGACACAGTTCCGATATCATTATTGTGCATGTTGTTCTTCTTTGACAATTAGCAAGCCGGCAATACTGCTCGTCACTGAGAGGGGCTATCGGCCCGGGCGAGCTCAAGTCCTTTCTGCATGTTTTTGTGTTATCGAAACGCTGCAAAAATCAGCGATTGGGTACAGCTGTCTATTATAGCCGTGTCTAAGACACGCCCTTTACAAAGCTACGCAGGGACGCCTTCGGACGTTCGCGCCCCGAGAGAGACAGAGAGAGAGAGAGAGAGAGAGAGAGAGAGAGAGTAATCGAACCACAGCCCCAGCACGGGGACAGCAGCGGCAGCCAGCCACAGCCGCAGGAGGTGCGGGACAACCACCACGAAGGCGAAGGGGGGGAACCACCACCACCAACACAACCACGCCACAGGGGGATGCAAGGCGATGGGTGGGACAATTTACCACCATACTCCTCACAATGGGTGGGGGACCAGTGCCACTCACCTTCCCACCGGAACTGCCAATTAGGCCGGGGGTGCACTTACACATGAGAGCGCTGAGCTACGGGGTGTGAGCAGCCATCACCTTGGGGACGGCATCGGCGAACGCACCGGACTACATGCACACACAACACAGGGGGTACACCCGAGCAAGACAACAACGCAACACAGACGCAGCAGAACCAGCGGGGTACCTTGGCATCAACACTGCACTAGTGCTGTTCCCCCTGGGTAGAATCCACAGTAGCCGCCCTGAGCGGTGGTTGCTCCATGTCACGGCAAAGGGGGGGAACCAAGACCCGGAGGCGGGGCAATGGAGGTGGGGGAAGGGTTTCTTTTGGAGTGGCAGCCAGGCGCTCGCACCTGGGGGCTGGGAAGACTACCACCAAGGGTGGCGACACAATACTACTACTGACGTGGAGCTCCAAGGGGGGTCACCTTCCCAGCAGGGCAGTGGGAACGCTTGGCCATGGACCTGATCCCAAGGCCAGGGGGGAGACCATACCGGCAAGGGGGAGGCAGACGGCACAGCACACACCCACGCCAAGCCCGAGCAGCGCACAGCAGCCAGCACCAACACCACCACTACCACCGCTGCTGCAAACACCTCCACCACAACAGGACAGAACCCAGCCAGAGGGGAGCGACCAGGACGACACGTCATACATGCAGCACACGCATAGTAGCAACATGGAGGGGAACCAGGCAGCATCCTCGAGCCATGGCCCGGCAACCAACAATGCCGGAACGACCAGAGGGCAGCTCACCGTGGAAGCTGCCATGCTGCGACACTGGCTAAGAGAGGCGGCGGCAGCGCTGCCGCAAAACACCAGGGGGAACAGAGCCAGGGATGCAGTGGAGCGAGCGTTGCTGGAACTGGACTCCCACAGAGAAGGGGACCCAGAACGATGCAGCCAACCGCCGGCAAAAAGACGGCGCAAGCATATCAACTACTTTGAGATTTTACGCATGCGACTGGCAGATGTAGAAGAAGAAGATTGCGAAGATGGTCCGCGGCAACAGTGGCTACAGCAGGCGCTCAGGGACGCTCTCCGTGAACTCGAAAAGGGGGAAGTCTCTCTACAAATCCTCACAGAAGGGCACGGGGGAGACCAGTTGCGCAACGCTTTCCTGGGACTATCGCAAGCAAAGGCTGCTCTCAGGACAGCAGAGGGGTTCACAGTGAACAACCAGCTGGAATGGCTCGCCCCGGGATGGGCGAGTGCAGTGGGCTTCTTGCTGGACGATGCGGAGGCCAGTCCTTGGAGCACAGGTTGCGAGAACTTGTGCGGAACGTCAGGGGAGTGGCACCATTCCTGCTGGAAGGCCGCCAGACAGTGCTAGCAGCAACGATCGCCATGGAAGCCGCACTGGGGGACACAACCACCGGCAGACCAAGGCGAAGGAAACGCCGGTCCGCCGTCGTTGTTCGAGCCAGCGGCGGAGGAGACAGAAGTGTGGCGCCCACCGTTGGGGGCAGAACAGTGGCCGGAGGAAGTGCCGCCTTCAGAAGAGCGAGGGGAAAGCTCGCAAAATAGCCAGCCGGGGACAGACCCAAATGCGCCTACAGACGAAGACCTCTTGGCGGCGCTCGAGGAGTTCGAGGGGAAACAACAGCAAGAACAAATGGGGGAAGCAGCTGGCGCAGATGCTGGGGATGAACAAGTACGAGATCTGAGCGAAGGCGAAATGAGTGAGGCGAGCCACCGTAGGAGACGTATGCATGCAGCCGTGTACGACAGGCATGGAGGGCTTTGGCACCCGGGGGACTTTCCTTAGCTAAGCGAGTGCAAATCCTTGATGCTGTGATGTACAACAGGCCCGGCCAGAACCCACCAGATGCCTAACTAGTGCAGCAAGCCAGAGCACCTGAGGGGAACCATGATTTGTTTGTTACTGAAGCAGTGCGCTGTCGTGTTTCTTGTTTGGCCAGGACCTCAGAGTGTGAAGTGCTGTGTGCTCGGCATGTGTAGCTGCCTGCAAGTACAGAGCGAAGCAACACAGAGCCGATGGGGGACAGCCGAAGCCAACACGGCAACGGGCAAGTGATGAGGCCAGGGGGTTTTCTTGAGCTTAGTGTTCAAGGTTGTGGGGGTTTGATGGTGCAGTACGGTCCTGCATTTGGCATGTAAGTCTCACACAGACAAGAGACGTGACCAGTGCGCGGCGACGCGCGGGTGCGGCGCGAGCTGCACTTTGGCTGTGTGCAAGCAAGTAATAGAAGAAGTAGCCGTAGTAGTAGTAGTAGTAGTAGTAGTAGTAGTAGTAGTAGTAGTTGTTGTAGTTGTATCGTCGCCAGCAGTGGCAGCAGCAGGAACTCCCGTTCGTGTCCTGCTTGCCGATGTAGGGTTTCGAACCCCGACTTGCTTATGCAGGTTTCCCCATGTCGGGTTTTGAGGTTTGATTCGCAACAACTCTTTTCTTTCATAGTCTTGAAGTTTGCACGCTCCTTTAGAGGTGCACGGCAGCACTAGCACTCCCCCTGGTATTTCACACTCGTAGTCTGCCACGGCAATTGGGTTTTTTCCAAAACTTAAGATTGCGAGCTACCACACTGAATCGCAAGATCTGTTCGGTGGTATCTACATCTACATTTAGTCTGCAAAATTCTAAATCGTATGTTTTCGTGTACACAATTTTACATTAGACATAACAGTATGTATATACAACAGCACACACACACACATATATATATATATATATATATATATATACATACATTTATGTGTGTCGTGCCTGTTTGCGTGTGGAATCGGACTGTATTGCAACAGAGACAGGATTGGACGTCGGCCACGACGAGGAGCGCGAGGCGCATGGACAGGAACAGCTGGGTGTGTCGCAGCACAAATCGATTTGCCGTTCTTGTTCGAAGGTTCTTGTTCGAAGAAATGCATACTGTGGAGCTCATTTCTGGACTAGCATGCTCGCAGCTTTGTGCGCTTGCGCTACATGTGGTTGCTACAGACGGCCAGGCCGATGATCAGGAGGATGATGGCCACGACAGGACTTGAGCGGAAGCAATAGAGAGTGACCTTCCAACGCCTCACGTGTGATGCCTCTGCTGCAAAGCTAGCGCGTGATAAGCGCAGGAAATGCTGGCTGCAGTGCATGTGAGCTTACGAGTCTCCTTACTGACTTCTACAAAGACTTTAAGATGCAGAACCTGGCAATTCGCATCCTTGACGGTTGCCACTTGCACGAGGAGTTGGGACGGCGTGCGACATCGAATGGCCTTGCTCATCGCAGCAGGACTTATGGTAAATGTATTGCTGTTTTGGGACAGAACATCTACTTCAGTGACTTTGGTTTATGGTCGGTAGCTTGTCGAAGAAGAAGAAAGATTTGGAAATCTCTCTAGTCGCAGGCGCTCGATACATGCAAGCTGCGACTGCTTTGAAGAGCCGTGCCAAGCCAGGCGGCATTGAATGGGACTAGACCGGCTATAGATCTCTTCGATGAAGGAATGCAGGAGGCAGTAGCTTCCTTCAATTCTGTGTGTGCTGGCAATGGCCTATGCTTCCAACCTCAAACCTCAGGTTGCACGTCGAAGAGTTTGATATGCCAGGACTGGCGTGCGCAGGGCTCGCTCTTTGGGCGCTCTACTCCTGGCAATTCCCGGCCTTCAGCCTGCTGCAAGAGGTGCATTCGCGAACCATGTTGCGAAGCCCATTTCGATGAACCTTGGGGAAGGATTCAGAACAGGGAGGGATCGCATCATGACTGCGACAGAGGCAGCTTACTAAGCTAGTAAGCCCGGACAGGCAAGATCTTTTTCCGATTCGCGACTCGGCTTCAATATCTTTGGCTTAGGCTTCACCTCTTAGTGTTCGGAAGCTGAGCAACTGAGGCTGGTGTCGTCGTTGATCTCCAACCTTCCGGTGGAAGTGCAAGGATGAAAGTCACTGCATCTTCGCCTCACGTTTCACAGCTGCTTCCAGTGGTCTCGGTGTTTGGCAAGAGGCGATGTCTGAGCCTTTTGCACATGTAGCAGGCAATTCAACGGACTGTCGACATGTGAGAACACGGCCAGTAGGTGTGTGCTTCGAGAACATGACCACGCCAGTCTCCTGCCATCTGTAGTCGGTTTTCCATCCGAAGCAGACTCCCTTGCCGCCTGCTCGCCCACCTCAGGTTGGGCTGAGAGGTGACACGGAGACACCGTGGTTCCAACAGGTGTCAGAATCTGTGGTCTGCAGGAGATCAGGACGGCAAACCATGGCAGGAGGTAAAAAGTGCAGCGTGGCTCGTGCAGCCTGGAATGGAAGGCAGCGTGGGGCCAACACCAAAACTCCATTCCCAAGCTAAGCTCATGCGCATGCCAGCAAAACCCACTTCTCCACCGAGTTCGAGTCACCCTGCAGAATGCCCATGGAGTCTAAGCAACTTGTGGCTTAGCAGGGCTACTGGCACTGCTTGGGAGAATTTGGTGCCGGGCTCGCACCTTGGGCAGTGGGAGAGAGGGACTGGCGCGGCATGGCATGGCTGCGTAATCTGGTTTGTGGATCCCCGGATTGAGGTTGCTGCTTGCAGGTCACACGCCGCACGCTCTTCAGCCACGCCGTCATGCCTTCTCCCAATTGCGATTGTCTTTCGCCTCATAGATCTGGACATGAACTAATCTGTATGGTCGATTGCTGCTTGGTTGGTTGGAAGCTCTTGTTCTGACTTGTCAGCCCTGGCTTGCTGACTTGAACAATACTGCTGTTGAGATGTAGAAAATGCATAGCACATAGTTGCGATTTGCCGCTCTAATGGCCCCGATTGGAAGCAAGCGGACGGACTGGTTGCAGACCTTGCTCACACCAGCATCGCCCCAGAGTTTACATGCGCAGTTGGTTTGTTTACGGGATCGAGATGCGCCCCACGCTTGAGTTCGACATTGATTGGCGCTTGCAATCATTCGGCATCAAACTCACGCTCCCGGCCGTCGGTAGCTCTTGCTTCTCATGCCAGGGCCTGCCAGCAGGCAGCCCAAGGTTCTGCATCGCAGCAGGGGGCTTAAGGCCAAATTCACTTGCTGCGTGCTGGAGAACACACAGTCCGCCGTGAGATCTGCTGTTTGCACTACTTCAGGCTGGGGGCGTTGCATGCTGACAGCCTTCGTCTCCGGCGGTCGCCTCGTGGTCAAAGCCTGTGAGACATCTAAAACCTCGACTACCAAGGCACAACCTTGCCGCAGCGAGCCGCGTCGTTGGTGCTGCTGTCGTTGTCTCAGAGCCATCGGATGTCGGACATTTCTCTCCGAGCTGTCGACATCTTCGCAGGCCGATGCTGAACAAAACTTCAAGGCTGCGTGGGAAGGCCGATGCCGCACTTTGGGGCCGGAGGCTCAGCTGAGGCAGTGTCACTGAGACATCAAAGAGCGAGATCCTGAGGCACAGCCATCCAGCGACGGTGCCGAGCTCGGCTTCCTGAGCTTAGCTTCAAAATTGCAAGAATCGCGGTATGCCAGAGAGAATTCGCTGGTCGCGATTTATGACTGCTTTAGACAACTTAGGAGTACATTCAGAGTGCATTGCAATGAACACAGACCCTGAAAATTTGCTTGCGCGACTTGGACCAAGCAGCATCCACACGGGGGTTCAGCGTGTACTCCACTGGTGTGTAAGTCTCTGGAACAGCGTGTGCTCTCGCCGACGAATGTGAGATACACTCGGCGATGATTCCGTTGGCATCAGTCCAGACAGATGCCATTCGCTGTAGGCCCTGATCCCGCCACGCCACAACTTGCCCGCTGGAGATTCGTGTCGGGGCTGGTGGTGCCTCCGACTCCGAGGCACGGTCCATCACCGAGCCGCGGCCTTGTGGGAGCTCTAGAGCGGGTGGCTTTTTGTGAAACGAAGATGAAGATGTTCTCTTAGATCTTGGATAGAAGGTGGCAAAGAGGTGTCCACAAAAGACGAAATTATTCTGGTCCAGGCTGGCCAGTGTTGTTGCTGACGATGCGCGGCGCCGTAAAGAAGCCCAGGCACCATGTTGCAACCCTCTGCAAATCTTCTCAAGACTCATGAGAGAGAGGCTTGGTATCGAAAAGCCCTTGAAGCAAAGCAGGCGCTCGCTTGTTCTGTATATCGAAGTTCTGTCATTGGCCACGATTTCATTCGTCAAAGATTTTGCAACCTCACAGCTTCATGAGTGCTAGGCTTGCTACGGTGCTTCGCATCCAGAGGCCGCGTCGCTCCGTACTTAGCCGCCGATCTGTCTCGCCTTGTCCTAGCTCGTGGTTCGAAAGCGTCGGAGAATGGTGTCTTTTGCCGGAACGCGTCCCGACCGATCTCCGATCTCACCTTCGCCTAGGTGCATGATTGCGCTGGCATACTCGCTGTGGCAGGCAGGGAAGACTCTTGCTGTGCGAGAGAAAGAGCGAGCAGTTGAGAGCTGACGCACGACGGACACAGGTCTCAAGCTTTGGACGCAAGGAAGCGGGCAGGTAAGCGCATAGTAGACTCATTGTAGCCGACAACTGGAGATAGCCCCACCAGCTGACGCGAGGGATTCTGCCAAAAAAGTTGGGGAACGGAGTTCATTTGGCCTTCAGGAGAGGACAGAGCCGCAGACTCCGCAGACTGCAGCGACGGAAGGGGGTTCGGTGTGGCTTTAGGGGCCTGGATTGGAACAGATCGGACTTGGAGAAGGCCAAGCAACAGCCTGCGACGAGCATCAGCGAATAAGCACCTGACATTGAGAGATCATGAAAGATCTTTGCAGACCTGCGTGCGGAAGAAGAAAAGGTATCCGCTCGCCATAACGACAAAGCCGGAATGTGCAAGAAGCAGCTCCGGGCGGGCCGGCTTTGAGCCGCGACCTGCTCAGGGCCGCCAAGCCACACATGGGACGTCTGCAACCCTCGAGCCGAGTGGAAGCAGAATAGAAAGACCTAGCGAATCTGGGGTTCAGTTTCGCAGGAAGAGGACGTCTGCACTCATGCTTGAGCTTGTAAACCGATGCCCAAGATGTCGGCCGCCAAGGATGGAAGCAGGGACGAAGCTGAAGACTTCTACAAGCGAGCACTGCTGTCTCGCCAGCGCTTTTACTGACATGTTTTGCTTCAATTCGTTTGCTGCGCTCCGCGTGATTTGAGTGCGGATTCCCTGACAGAATCAGCGAGTCAACCCTTGGCCCAGAGCATGAGACGACTCTGCCCGCAGCCTCAGTGTGGGTAAGCCGTTCCCTGCCACACTTGCAACGTAGACGTACCCGGAGGCACTGCCTAACCAATTTGGCAGCTATTGCCAAAGAGTTGGGCCGCAAGGGTGAGTTGGTCGCCTCCTGAGCTCCTTGCAAAGCCCCTTTGGCCCTTTGCGCTGCGCTTGGCTTTTGCCGGAGGATCGACTCTTGGGGCGACGACCTGGAGAGAAGTGCACAAAACCCATTGGGCGTTGAGGCCTGTTCACCAGCTTCAGCTTCAGCTGTTGCTCTGCGACATGAAATCAAGTTTTCATCAGCCAATCAGTCCGGAGACCGCGCTGGTTGGCTGGAGTAGGCACGGTTACAGCAACCCCAAAGGGGTAGCAAATCTGCGGCGTAAGAAGAGAATCCCGCCATTACATGCTTGGCATCCGTTGCCACGGGGATGATTCACCTGTACCCTGCCGCCCTGCCGCCCTGCCGCCTTGCCGCCAGCAGGGAGTAGCCCTGAAAGATCATACAGATGAATGAAGTATCTGGTGTAACAAGCCAGTTTGCCGGTTCATTTTCTCCTATACAGGGAACCATAGGTAAGGCATGGTAAGGCCTAAGTGTCTTTTCCAGAGCAGCATAGTTTCTTTCCAAGTCACACAGCTGCCTGACTGTGCAGCCGATGCGCCTTGACACTTTCAATTCCTTTCAAACCTGATGTCATACTTTGCATGTCGGGATAGTGCTGGTGCTCAGGCAGCTGCCGCACAATGCATGAGGCACATGGAATCGCATGTGCACGACGAGCTGGACACCCTCGAGGAGATAGCGCGGGTAAGCAAAATGTCGCGTCGCGCGAGGGGAACGAGTCAGGAGCCCGCCGAGACCGATCCCTCGTTGGACCAGGACTTTCGGGGGGTGACCTTCCGGGCCTTCTCGGGCATGGGCATGAGTGTCAGAGAGCTTTTTCTCCTCCCTCCCTTCCTCCTTCAAACACTAAGTAATACTACAAACCCCCATGCGGGGCGCACAAGCAGGGGAACCATGCAAACACGACAGGATCACGTGGAGACGCCACGCTCCCAGGGAGGGTCTCAGAGGCGTCTTCGCCTTTGCGTCGCCGTGGGAGTGGCCGCTTGCACGGATTGGTGTTGTTCAGAGATGTTCGAAGTTTTATTTGGCCGGCTGGGGCAACAGAATGGAAAGCCGTTTCGAACTCGCGGCTCTGTCCGAGGCTCTCGCTGGACTGGTGCTGACTGGCATTGGAGTGGCCGTGTGGGTTCTGCCCATACCCGGTCAGCCCACTCCGGGTGCAAATCAATGTGACCTGCCTAAATCTGCAGTGTCACGGACGGACAGACAGACACAAGAATCAAACAGAGTCAGACAGAGACAGACATACAGGCAGACAGGCCGACAGGCCGACGGGCAGACAGACGCACAGACAGACAAACAGACCGTAGCCATTTTGGCTTAAGGCCGTGAGTGGTTCGAGAGAGACCGGCCTTCTTCTCTCTCCTTCCTCTTCCCTCTCCTTGCTCTCAGGGTCGGGGACGACACCCCTGGTAGTGCATAGCACGTCCGCGACCGACTCGGCAACGCCCTGCGGGACATACTCGCAAAAAGCACGAGCTGCCCTGGGCGGGGTCCAGGGATTGGGGCAGACACGGGGGTCAAAGTTTGACAACCAAACCAGACTTGGACACAGGCGTTGCGCGGTGCGTGCAGGGAGGGAGGGCCCGTGCCCAACCTCCCAAATGCCCAGCAAGCAAGCAAGCCAGCTTGACCGACAGACGGACAGACAGACAGACAGACGACTCACCTCCATCCGGCGGTGCAACCTTTTTACACACCTCCTACCTCCTATGGCCACTGCACCTACTGCAAAAACTTGGCTGATCAGCTGCCAGTCCATCGGTTTTGGCGCAGATCATGTTTACCATCGCTGACCGTTTGACTTTTGTACTTTGCCCAAGCCACAGAGCAGCATTGAGCAGCCTTAAAGGTGTCGACGACTCGGCTGGGGAGGAACCGCCCCTCGGCAGGACTTCCGACGGAAACGGACTCCTGCTGTCAAACGAAGCCGAGCCAAAATATTATTTTTTTTTGTAGCTGCTGTCGCTGCTGTCGCATCCTGGAATGTGCGACTGACTACGTTTGCTTGACCTTGAGGCCACTGGCTTGGACTGGCAAGAAAGCTGGTCCGCTTGAGAGGCAACTTGGGGTCCCTCGCGCACCGAAGGATTTAGTTAGGGAGGCATTCCCTGTCGAAACCTATCGTTCTGTACTCCCTACGCATCTGCTCCAAGGTTATCACTCCAGCCCAAGCTGCGTGGATCGTGTTGCAAGCCGGACAGACAGCCAATGATGTGGCTACACAAACGGCCGCGCTGTCCAAAGAGTTGGCGGCTGTTGCTTGATTGCATTTTGAGAGTGAAGGGAAGGGACCGGAAGGGATGATAGGATGTGTGAGGCGCTGAGAAGGACAGCGCCCGCGCGCTTGTGGCTGTGTGTGTGTGTGACGGAAACTCGGTAGCCAAGGAAGCTGCACCTCGGGTCACCTGCCACAGCTTCAAAAAGTTATGTTTTTTGGTATTCGTATGAGTTTTGTTTGTAGTCTGTAGCTGGTCAAAATGCATGCAAAGCATGTGGAAATGCAGCGACCAGATTTTTTGCTGGGCCCCGTGACAGGTCAGCCCGAAGAAGGTGCAGAAACGCAATCGTGCACGCTGTATTCTGCAGACCCTCTCAGTGGGGGAGAGTATCGCCAAGGTTCCAGCGTTGCACAAAGAATGCCATCGGCTCGAGTTTGCAGTAGGTTCCAGGATGTTCTGTGCATGAGCCTGAATGGTCTGCAGATCGCAACCAACATCAAAGCGGCGAGCGCAGTTTGTGGCCCTGCCTCTTGCCAGCCAACAGCCACGCGTCCCAGCGCTCGTCGGCGTCGTCGATCGTCGGCAAGCTGAGGATCGGATCTTCAAGTACATCCCGGGGAAGTTTGGAAAAGCCTTGGTGAAGCTTCGCAAGATCATTTGCTCAGTCGCTTGCTCGCGATTCAGGGCACACCTCGCATGCAAAGCCTCAAGCTTCATAAGGTAAACATCGAACTGGTAATCTCTGGCTTCCTGGCAGTTGCCGAGCGCTAAGCGACACCCGTGGCTGCTTCATGTTGCTTCGTTTCTTGTTTTATGTTTGAGGCTGGAAATCTCGCTGAAGCGAGCATTAGCTGTTCGATTGCTGTGAACTCCACGAGCTCTCTGAACTTGAACGAGCAGTTCGATGCGGGCTGTGCGAGCGCTGCTTGGCCCGGCTTGGTGTCTCGGGACTTGACTGCAGTACCATTCCCAAAGGCCGCTTACCAGATGGCCAATTCACTGGTTGCCGTGTCTTCCGCCTTTTCGAGTCTTGGCAGCCGTCAAAAGGGCCTTCACATTTCTCATGCTCATAAAGTTCAGCTGCTGTTCAGTTGGTTTTTGTTCACCATCAGTTCATCCAAGGATCGCAATCCCAGGTGGCCCGTCTCACTGTGTATGTAGGCTGATGTGCTATAGCTTCCTTGCAACGACCAAAAGGGTCCCAGCCAACCACAGGCTGTGAAATTGTGGCGAAGGGTTTGGAGAAGACTATCACTGGAGCCCTCAAAGGACTAGGGCAGCACCTCGGAGTAAAGATGCGTTCCGTAGTAACCGTAGTACATGCCAGGCTGCACATCCCACTTAGCTCAGGAAAGGAATATCCGACTTTGGCGGTGGCAAGCTGACCAACCCAAGCGGACTGGCTGCAGAGAGGACATAGAGGGACGCAATGTGGAGTGCAGTGGCCGCAGCTGCAGGCCAAGTCAAGGCTGCTGTCAAAGCCCTCCAGAATGAGCTGACACCGGCCAATTTCTTGTCGGAGACATCCACTTTCGGGCGGAGGCTCTTTCTCGGTGGAGGCGAGGCTGCGCACAGTTATGGATGTATGGAGCCATCTAGAGCTCCAAATTCTCAGACCTCAGAATGCATGTAAGTTCAGTCGGAAAAATCATGCAACTCAATGCTAGCTGCTAGCACAACTGACGTATCCGAGGCCGCCAACGAAGTGTAGCGACACCCCGTAGCCGTTTCCGCCAGGCAAGGGCGCAATCATGACTCAGTGCGTGGTCGACGTCATGCAGGCGTTGACGCAGCTGTCGCTGATGGGCATTGCTGTGGATTCGCTAGCGAACGTTCCTTGGTGTCCAGTTTCTGGCTGTTTCTGCGGGGAGGCAGACCTATCGCTGCACCATGGTATGGCTGTGATTTTCTGTAGTTTGCTTCGTGACATTTTTCCTTGGTGACTGTTTTCGCTACTTCGCTGTGGTTTGGCGGTCCGGTGCATCATGTACGCTTCCGGATCTGCGTCCAAGCTCCCAGCACATGGCTTCTACCGAATCCGCATTCTCTGAATCGTGCCAAAGCACAACAACTGTACTTGTTCGACAGTTTTTGAAGTTGGGGACTTTGCAGAACAGCTGCCAGAAGGCAATCATGCAGCAGTTCATCAGTGTGTGCATGCAACCGGAAGTTGTAATCTCCTGAGGTGGCAAGTTGGATAGATGTCTTGTGGGCTGAAGTCGTCGTGTGCTAACCAAGGCAGCTTGTGATAACCCGTCCGTGGGAAGCACCTTGTTGCGATTCAGCACAAGCTTCTTGAGTTTGTTGCAGACGAGACAGAGGTGCGAAAACGCTATTCTTACTTTTGAATTTTCCGAGGAGTGACGTCGAGAGCCTTGCCAAAATTCCTTCGCAAGCGAATCGAGAACGGACAACGTGCCACGTTCTCAGACATTGCACAATGTCACGCTGGGTTCCAGTTCCAGATTCAAAGCAACCTGCCTTTTCCTGGAGTTCGTCTTGCTTTGCAGACAGAGTTGGAAGTTCATTTTGCCGGAGCTGAACCCGGAAAGTCATCCCCAGCTTCTTGGGGTGGAAAGAAGATGACAGAAGTACACTTCCACGCATGCTCAGGGTTTGTCTATACGACGCCTGAATGAACATGGGTAAATCCTGCTTATGCTTCAAGATTGGAGTGGAGTATGATCAGCTTTGACGGTAACCTAGAAGCAATTCCAACGAGCGCATGCTTCTAGAGTAAGGCCCGGCCGAGCAGCTCTTTACCCACGTGAAAAAAGTGCTGCGAGGCGACTTGTGGTGCTGGCGTTGCAACAGTAATTGCTCAACTTGGCCGGAAGCTCAGCTGTTTCTGAGGACTTCAACCAGGGTGCCTGTCAAGAGCCAGTCCCATGCGTCTGGGACACAAAAATTCAACCCAGATGAAAGCTTCTGAACTTTCATTAACCTGATTGCGGCACTACTTTCTTTTGTTGTAGCTTAATGATCGGTCTGGTAGGTGAGGAAGTAGGAGTTCAGTTTGCACGATCGGAAGAACATCCTGTTTCCGATCTGCGGATCATCTCGCCGTTTCAAAACTGGCTCGTCAATGAAATTACGTCGAATGCTGCCAGATCGATCGAAGCTCGGAGCGCGCGATCAGGTGATGCCGCCGAATTCCAGCTATCACTGCTCCTTGCTTGCCAACGACACGCGCGATGGCATCAATGCTGTGCTGATTTTCACCATGTCCTCTCGGGCATGGGTCTTTGTGCCCAATGGGGCTCGACGCTAGCCGTGCTTTGTCCCATCCGGCTTTTCAGCCGTTCACCTGGCCGGTCATGTTCGACACATGTCGACGCCCCGGCAACTATGTGGATGTGAAAGTCCCCAATGGAAACGATGTCCTGTTCCAGTGGGTGTTCCGAGGGGACCGCTCGGATTCGGACCCTTCTGTGCAGCAGCAGTTCTGCGATGAGGTCTTGATCAGAACGGCTAATGAGGGCTGGTTCCGGTCTTCGATCGTGATCTCCGTTTTCGTCGGGTGGAAGGTCTCCCTGACGTCCTTCGAGGTTGGAGCGAGGGTCTATTCGATCGGGCCACGCGGATCCGTGGTGGCCAGCGATCATGCTAGGAGCAACTGTGAGCTCAGGGTGACCTCGTGATCGTCGGAGGAGGGCCATGGCAACGACGCCGATCGGCTCGAGTTCCGGTTCAAGGATGCCAACCACCGGATCGACCTCAAGTGTAGGCGAATGTCCGTGCCGGGGACGTGGTTTTCGGTCAGTCACATTTTTGGTCCGGCCTTGATCAACACGATCCATGCTTGCCGCCTACAACGCGCTCGCGTGGAAGACCCGGGTCATGTGCAGCAGTTCGCCCAGCTGTCCACGGTGATCTCCCTGTGATACCAGTACAACAGCTCAGGGCGTCAGGCGCTCGTGATGTGGGCACCTTGACCGAGGACATGTGAAATTCGATTCAGATTTGTGGCCGACGCCCGCGTTGCGGTCACACAAAAAGAGGGGTGTGCGATCAGTGCGATCGTCGGTTGTTCAATGACATTCGAGTGGTGAAAAAATTGTATATACATACACACAGACATATATATATATATATATATATGTATATATATATGTGTATATATATATATATATATAGAGAAACAGACCTTCACATAGCCGACGTGAAAGCTATGTGAGTCAGACCCAGTTAGATTGTGGCATTTCTGAGCAATCGTAGCTCCGACCTCCGTGATACTGCTGCAGGACTCGCCACGGTGTTCCTATCCTTTACCTCGCATCTCGGAACAGTTGGCAGGGTTGCGTCGACGTTGCGAAAAGATCCAATGATGGCAAAGGAGCCAGTGATGACAAGTGGATGGCAATCCGAGGTTTCACTGCACGAACGAAGCTAACATTCGAGCAATCTGCGGTGCCGGGATCGCAGGTGCGTCGATCTGTGTGACATCGCATGAAGTATATACAGCAAGTGACTTAGCGCGTTCGGTGATTATGAGCATGTCCAGGAGCCACTGGGGCTTTGTCCGGCATCGCAGGGGCTGGCATGGCAGCATATGTTGCGTGTACGGAGGGGCAGCATCTAGGCACAAATCTGAGAGTGTGATTGCACTTCTTAAAAGCTGTACTGATTGGACTGTCGCAGTCGCTACCAAGGAGGCTCGACGAAACTGAAGCGCTGTCAAAGAAGTTCGTGGCAGACTTCCTTACTCAGGTGCGCACGTTTTGAAAAGCCAGCCACAGCAAAAAGTTGCTTCAAGCGTTCAGGGGGCGGGGAGGGGTAGGACTGGAAAGATTCACGGTCCACGTCCTGCCATTGAGTTTGTAGGAGAGGCCAGCATGTGTGTCCGTGTGTGCTTGTGTGGAGTTACGGGCCCCCGTTAGGAGCCACCCCGATATCGATATCGGGCTCAAGCTTTTGCAGCTACAAGCAAAAAGTCCGTTGTTCCAACTTCACGATTTGTCGGCAAAGGTTGCTAACCTTTGAATCCACTCATCGTTTCTCACATGGACTGATGGCGATTGCATGGATCACTCCGTCTGATGCTCTAACTGAAATCACCGTTTGATTGAAGCCGGAACTACACATCGCCCACTTTTGAGTTTCCGGCAAAATGAGACAAAGACATGCAACATCCACCCCTCCTTCCCTTATCGTTGAGAGGGAAAGGTCCAGGGCCAGGGACAGAACATGTCCTAGTAATCCTAGTACTACTGCACTGTCGACGAATAATTGGCTTCACCGATTTAGAAGCATCCTCGTACGACACGAACCTACACATGACAAAGTGTCGTGGCGCTCTTCAACGCCCACCGCGGCCACAGTTCACGGCTTGGGATTCTGGAGCACTCAGTTTGAGACACTCCTAATGGCCATGGTGCGAGCAAGGAGACGTCAGGCACCAAACAGGCAAGCGAAAGATGCCGGAATCTGAAGTTCAAGCGCGCTGCAAAATCTTTCTCTCGACGAAGGGGCCCCCTTCTCATGCACGCGAATCAGCAAGTCTCCAAGGGCGGAATGATGCGGGCATTTTTGAAGTTCGTCGCCGAAGCTGCCAGGAAGCCACTGGCATTGTTCAGGAATCTTGCCCCTGGCTCAGCTATGCCTTGGGTCAGTGCTCAAGCTTGGTGTTATTGCAACGCAGCGACAGGCCCGGACCTGTCGCTCCAATGCTTTTTGGAATTTACGCAATTCTTCTCGAATTGTCCGCCTGGTGCTAGCACTGCAGGCAGGGAAGCGTGGAAAAGCACAACAGCTTGAAATTTGGCTGCCCTGCGAGGACCAGTGACTCCATCTTGCCCGGTGCCTCCGTCTCCTCAAGCATGCCCAGGCGTGACATCATGCATGAAGGTGTGGGTCCAATCTGTCCCAGCGAGATGATGATCCAACCACTCTGACTTGATGCTGTCAGGAAGTATTTGCACATGCGCATGTGTATGTATATCTATCTTAATATGTCTTGCTATGTACTATAGACAGAGGTATATAGATAGATAGATAGATGGGTAGATAAGTAGGTGGATAGCTAGGTGGGTAGACTGATAAAAACAGATAGGTAGGTGGATAGGAGAGGGTGGATCGGTAGCCATGTAGATAGGTAGATACGCAGGTAGGTGGACAAATCCTCTCTTTCATGCAGTGCGAGTAACTTTGTGGACTTGTCTGTTTCGTTCCATTGTTTTGCATGCAGTGCACAAGTTCCATGCAGGAATCGAGCCTTGCGTTAACGAGTTTGAGGCATTAAGGCCAAGCTTGTTACCCGGTTGCACATCAGATCGTGTCACTTGGTCCGCACAGCTGGTACTTGGTACATTCCTGTCACTGAGGACAACTTGGTTTCCGTTGCCTACGGCTCCGGTAGAGTTCACCGTGTTGGCCGCTGGGCCGGAGAAGCTGGAAGTACGAGCGCTACAGAGCCTCGAAGCGCCGAATCAAGAGAGAGACACAAAGCGAGGTCAACGGAGCTCAATCTTGCTTCGAGTACCTGTGACTCTGCCGTTCTTAGTTCCCGGCAGCTAAACCCGGCATGGAAAGGCCGTGTGCCTTGAGCCTCCATGTGCCTCTGAGGACCTGCTTTCTCAGCCCGGGCCCGAGCCCATCGCCTCGAAGGCTCCAAAGTGATGCTCCTCAGATCGCAGAACGCAGAGAAGTTCACACGGATTGGCTTTTCCGTTGTGCCTCTCAGGCTTTGCGGAGTATGCTCTTGCAAAAAGTGGTGGGCCCACTCCCAGAGCGCTGGCGTTGCGCGGCGGAGATGCTTTTACTGGCATGGTTTGCGGATGTTTGCGATCGCGATGGCTTCAGACCGAACGAAAGGGAAAGTTCAGCTGGCCTTGAGTTCTGGCCTCGGCAGCCTAGGCTCGTTGATTCATGGGGAGGATCCTCAAGAGGGCGTCTTGTCTGCAGTGGAACTTTGCTTGGCTTCTGCAATCGGCAGATCAGGCTTCAGAGAGCAATGCCATTCTTCGACCGCCATTTAATTGTGTACACATGTGAATGTGAAGCTTCTACATTCTACAGTTCATTGTCAAGGGAAGAGCTTACAACAAGGATGGAGGTGGGGAGTGGCCAGATTTGCTGCTAAAACGTGCGGAGGCCGTTTTGCAATCCCAGAGAATGGCGCGCACAAGGTTTTCGCAGAACCCGACGGCAACACACATAAACGGTGTGGCAGCCGTTGGTAGCATGTCTTGGCAAGGAGGCATTCTAGTTCTAGAGGTTTAAGTGGAATCGCAAAGGGGCACCGTGAACATCCGTGAACAACATTTCGTGTGGAAAGATTCTCCCAAACATTCTCGTATTTCTCAATGGCCTGGATCCTAGTCCCAAGCGGGCGCCAGCGTGAAATTTGAATGCCTCTGCCGCCTTGGTAAATTGAAATTGAAGAGCTTCTGCCCCACTTGCATCCTCAATACCGCGACGAGCTTTCCCTCCCTCGGCAGCCACATTGGATTTCACAAGCTTTGCTGCTGTGCTGCTTTGGAACCCAAAGCAGGTCCTCGCGAGTCTCACGACGGTGTTCCTGCCGAGAGTGTGCCGTGACCTGTCTCAAGTTCTCCATAGTGTATGAATGGTGAGAATGTGACCATCGCGACCAGCTCTGCCGACTCTGTCTGCTCATCGCGCGATCCGCAGGATGATCAATCGCCTGTGGAACCGAAGCGTGGGTTCCTCCGCGAGCCCGAACCTCGTCAGTTTCACGGTCGAAAGTACAGTATAGAGGGCGGCCTCAGGAAGTGCAGCTTGAGTCGCTTCGAGGCCAGGGGCTCTTGCGCACAGCGCTGCAAGGCGGCCAGTTTTTGGAAGAGGCTGGAAAGTCGAAAGTCCTCAACTGATCGAGACCCTTTGCGCAGCCTTGTACTTCGATCACCGCAGGCAGCCAGGGAACTGCACAAGCGTGAGGCGAATCACGTGCCTTGACATCATTTGGAGACCGCTGTGGCCCTGCTGTCTCCGTCCATGCCACAATCCCAGGATCTGTGCTTAGTTAACGACGGACCGCTCATGGATGAGAACCAGGAGACGATCCCTTGAGCACCGTGAATTCATTGTCTTTTTGAATCATGGCCTGTGTTCTGGCATCTTGCTGGACCGGGTCGTGTGATTCTTCGGGCTGCCGACCGAAGCTGGATGCAGCCACCAGCCCGTAACTCAGGGCTTCGAGAGCATGATAATTCATGCTCTTGGAGGGCCTTTTTCCAGTCGTGGTGTGCCGGTAATTGGCCTATGCACCCCTCGAACATCTTATATAGTTCCGACGTGCAGCTGATGATGCATTGCATACTTATGCGCTCAAGTCCATCGTCAAATTCAAGCTGGGTCAGCTTGTTGGTGAATGTTTCACCTTGACATCTGAGCTGCACGCACATGCAGTGGTCTTCCAAGGAGAAGAGTGCTCAGTAGCAGGGTTTCTGCGATGATGGTGTGCTGCCAAAGGCAAGTTGGGGGGGGATACTCATACTCAAGTTGAGTTGTCTGTCAAGGCTCACGACTGTGAGGGAAGCAGAAGCAGTCTCCGCAGCTGAGTGAACGGCTTCAAGACATCAAAGACGTGACCGCCAGATCTTAGCACTTCCCGAAACTAGCTAGCTTTGATAGCTGCAAGACTCTCAAAACCCAGCCAGTCTCAAGAGCTAGGCTGAGCGGACTGTCACTGCTCATGATAGACTTCGATGAGCTGGATGAGGCCCGGTGGAGCCGTCCGATCGTCGTGCCATGATCTCGATCAAGCGTCCGAGATCCAGCATAGTTCAGCCGTTGACTTCATGCGTTGTGTGCATCGCGGCCCGGCAGCAGAACTCAAAGGATCTCAAAGGACGTCTGAGCACGAGGGAGGGAGAATCAAACGAGACGGGGCATTCGGAGTCAATTCCATGGCTTTGACGGCGCTCTCATCAGCCGGGGCTAGCCATCGACCGCGTTATCCACCTTTCCAACATGCGGGTGATGGGCCCGGGTGGGTGCAGCTTCCCGCTTTCAGCTTCCCAGGTTGTTTGTTGCGCAGGCAGGGAGAGGGCTGAAGAGACTTCGGTGCTTTGGGCGTGTATGCTTCATAGACTAATTTAATTAATATTGCCATGAATTACATGCCGATGAATGATGAATGTGATCATGACAGGTTGAACCTGAGAAGCGACCGTACGATTTGGTCATCTACGGAGCCACAGGCTTCAAAGATTCAGCTCTACCGTTCTGAGCGTCGAACTCCTCGTGAAGTGGCAGGCTACAGTGGCTGCTTGGCAGTGGAGCACCTGGATGCTCTGCTGTCATTGCCAAGGGCGACACCGCACCGCTGGGCCATTGCTGGTAGGCACCTCTGCAGTTGTCTCTGATGGTCTCTGCAAAAACAACTGCCCATGTGAGGAGCGATGAGAAGCTGCAGAAGATGGCCGCCCGATGTCAAACCCGTCCCAAGGCGAATCCGGACAATCCGACCCGTATCCGGAGATGCCCTTGCGACAGGTCATTGTTGCAAACACCAAAGCTGAAATTGACGAGATGGCCGAGGAGCAAAGCGCCTTGTAGCACGAGCACGCAGCAAGCTCTTTCATGCCCTATCTGTGACGCTGTCAAAGCTGCAGGAAGCCGTGGTCGTTTTGGCATTGGCAGGCACAGCTTTCACCACGAGGGCATGCGACATCTCGCTGCACTCGTCTTACTTTTCCAGGCCCCTACTTAGCGTGTGGAGAGCAAGTACTTCGGGCGTGTGTGGCTGCCTCGGATTTACCAAACTAAATCAAACCTCTGCAAAGTTGTATTAGATAGCCGTGGGGTTGAAGCTAGGGCGTCTTGCGTGCTGTTCCTGTGTTTACCGTATGGCTGATTGGGCAGGGGCTAAACACAGTTGTAAGCACGGCCATTGATGAGGCTCGAATCCGTACGATTATTTTCCCACCCTCCCATCCCTGAGGAGGGCGCGAATCATGTGGGGGCACTTATTTGCTTTGTGGCCAAAGCACGCCACTCACAGTCATGTGTTCCTGCTGCCATCACCTCCTGCAAAGGATGTTCATTACTTGTCTTCTGTGCTCCAACACAACTTCCGACAGGGTGTTCCAAGCGTTCCCATTTATCGTGTCGTGAGCTGGGCCATGCCCCAAAAGCCAGCAGCTTTCGTTTGTTCCGCAGGGTTGCTTGCGCTAAGGGCACATGCTTTTAGCATTCCAGATTGGGGATACCGACAGCTCTTCCGATTCGAAATGCAATGCACCTGCCCTTTGCTCATTTCCAGCAGATTCAAGCCCGCACGAAGCCTTTCAGATAAGCTGCAAACCTTGCGGATTCCTCAACATCCCCCATTCATGCAAGACAAACTGATGCCCTGCCAACAGGTGGAAAAAGGCACCCACTATATCGACATCACCGGAGAGGCTCTTTTTGCCAGATGGCACTGTCGGGCCTTCGATAGTCACCAAGCTGACATCATGTGGTGCATCGACAGCTGGACCCTTTCTCGAAAGGTCAATTTCTCCCATTTCGTCATCCAGAAGTATCACCAAGCCGCGAAGGAGAAAGGCTTGCTCCCTTCCGGGAGTGGATAGAACCGGAAGTAGCTGCATGCCTCCACTTCCAATGCCTGCGAGGCATCATGATCGTTCAGTTTGCCGGTGCGATGTCGGTTCCTGATGACCTTGCGGCCTACCTCCTCGTCAGTGGCGGCCCCATGCAGTGGCACCTTCATTCAGACCGTCGTTTGCGCTTCGGTTGATCGGTGGGACATGAGGACAGCTGGGCCCCCTGAAGCAGCTGCGCGTCTACACTTGGGGTGCGGGTCTTTTGCTCGTGGTGTGCTTTTGCAGCCGGGCTGCGGGGTTCCTCCAAGGCTTCGGCTTGAGAGGCGGCGGCTCCTTTCAGACTGGGATGGAGGTGGTGGAGCGGCCAAGCTCAAGAGTCGTGGTAGTTGCACAGCTGTTCTACTTCTACTACATTGTCACCAGATTTAGATGGACACTGTTGAGTTCTACTTCGTGAGTTTCCAAGGAGGATGCTGCCCGAGTCCATGGCAGTCCGGGTCCTCCGTTGCTGCTCGTCCACCTGTCACACAGGAACACTGGATGCAACAGAATGCAGCAGCATGTTTTTCTCTTCGTTACAGTGTTTCTATCTGTTTCTGCTCGGTGCGTCGTGTCACCTTTCGAAGGAAACGAGCAGCCCATTTGGCCAGCAGCTAACTGCATTCGCAAGCACAAAATCGGTCTAACATTTCAGCATTTCTCATAAGTGTGCTACTCCGGTTCGTGGCTAAACACACAATCCCGTCCCATGCAATGCGCGTTGCGAGATCCAGGAACGCGCCAGGACCGCAGAGCGGTGGAGAGTTTGTGAGACCGACGCGAGAGCTCAGTACACATTTTTGATTCAGCCGAGCCTAGAGCAGTGTAGTTCATGACGCTGGCCGACGACTCTGTGTTCCTTGGACAGAAGGCGTGATCTCATCACGCCAAAGCGGTCGTCAACTATCTGGGCTCTTGCCGTGCTGCGCCTTGGAACGCCAGGCATGCCGCGCCGCCGTCGTCAGCGAAACAGTCTTCATTGCCGCGTCAGGCAGAGAGTTAATGAATTGAGAACTGCTGATGGATGGCGATGCAGCAAGACCATTCCAACTGTCCTCCTTCAAGTTTTAGCACTGCACGTGTTAATGATTCCACAGCCCGTGAACACTTGTTGGGCGCTGTACGAGCGGAAAAGCCCAAGTCAGCCCATCGCAGTTCAATCAGTCTTAAGCTGAAACCTTCAGGCGGGAGCCAGAGGACAGCGATGGTTTGAGTGTGTGCTCCTCAGTGCGGATGCGACGCATTGCGACGCATTGCGACGCTTCGACGAGTCTTCGACGTGTCTTGGTGTCCCGCAGGGATCCAGTGACGAGCTCGAGGCCGGCCGCGCAATTCCCCGGCGGGCCCAAGCGGAGTGGCAGTGCGGGTTCCCGCGTGTCAGAGGCTGTGGACATTCTCGTCGGCCCGAATCCTTCGGAGGCAGCCGGTGCTGTCACCTGTCTTGCGTGCGCCGGAAACCTGTCTCAGACCGCCAGAGATGCCTTGAAGCTCAGATTCCGTGATTACACCCAAAGAGGTGCCTGCGCTGACGGGGAGATGTGCTCAAGTGCGTAGTGCTGCTACATTGCGCTCGCGCAGGCCAAGGTATCGATGCCACGGACAAGTTTCAAGAAAGATGTGCACAAGGACCACAGCCTCTTTGCATCTGTGGATTCTTCCGCAGTCCCTTAAGAAATGCAAGGAGCGATATTACAACTGATCTTGCCCTCGCACGTAAGGGCTTGCATGCATGGCCTTGTTGTCTGGTGTGTGGAGATGCTACGGCGCAGCTGAAGGACCGATCAGTTCAAGAGGATGTGTTGCCCTCAGTGATTGCATGATCCTCGGTCGCACCTGCAACTACCCCCTAGCATCCTGCAAAGTGAGGTCAAGTAGGGTTTCTCATCAGTGCTGCGTCAGACCATGTAAACGGCCGTGCATCCTAGGATTATGCGAGGGATCTCGTCGGTGCCTTGGAAGTGTGGGGCTGAGGCGTGACAGTCTTGTCGGCAGACCTAGGAGTGGCCAAAACACCCTGTCATTCGGCACGGCCCTCCACCTCGGCCGGGCTTGTACGATCCTTTGCAGTGTCAGCACCTCAGGCGCTCTCTAACTTGGAGCATGCAAAGCTGTTTTACCGCCACAGCGGCTCTTGACGAATCTTTCCAACCACCAGGCAGTTAGTCCAACCCAAACTCCGTCGTGGCACAATGATTGCTGGACCCGAAACCGTTGGAAGCATGGAAACTAGAAGTGTGGACATTTGGCTTGTGTGCTGTAAGGTCTGCTCGTTCAACAGCAGCAACAGGCCTTACGGCTCCTCTGCCGCAGTATAATGCCCGCGCCAGAACTGGAAACTTAGGACTTGCAGGAAAGCTTGGCTTTGTGACTTCTGTCACGCGCAGGGTACTCAGTCCTCAGTTTGCACCACACCGTGCGCTGGTTGCAGCCGTGTGCTTGCCAGGCGTAGCACACAGCCCCGGAACAAGAAGAAGGGTTCTGGGGCTTGGCAGGCAAGGCCATGGCACAGCTGCGAGAACTCCAGTCATGCAGCCGAGACTCTGGGCAGGTTTCTCAGCTTCCATCGGATCGCATTGCGGAGCTCTACGAGGCCGCACATGGCACCGCACTGTCAGACGTGCTACAGCAAAAAAGATGATGATGAAGGGGTATCTGTGGTCAAGGGCGAACAACTCCCATGATGCCAAAATTCTTGCCGCACCGGAAAGCCTTCGACAAAAGAGAAGAGATGGAATGGATTGCATATGATTCCATTCACTTCCCGGACATGGCGCCGCAGCCCACGCCCTCAAGGCCCGAACCTGCTAAGAGCATTGTCCAGTTTCATGGAGCACTGCTCCATTAAACCGAGGGAGTTCGCATGCGGCAACCGTCACAGCAAAACAGCAAATCAACCACAACTGCAAGCAGAACTAAAGCATATGAGGACCTCGTTCCGAAGCTTACAAAGTCGCCAGGGTTTGTGGCCCTTGTCAAGGTATTCTAGAAGTTACCCGTTGCTGCTTCTGTGGCAGACCTGAACACGAAGTAAGTAGCCAGTGCAAAGCCGGTCGTCGGGGATCTAGTTCTTACAGGTCTTAAAAGCCACTTTAAAAAATGATGGCATGCCTAGGCATCCCCTGCCGAGGGGATGCAAGTCACCGTATCATTCGGAAGCCTAGCCTTCGTGCTAACTAAACACAGACCAGAATTGTAGGAGTTGGGTGCGTGCAGAAGTTGCAGGACAAAGCGGAACACATCCAAAATTCACAAGGCGCAGAAGCAAACACTAAACCGGGATCTGCACCAGCACATAGTCGTCAACACCGAGGATGTTGTTGAGGATGAGAGTTATGGCTTTGAGCTGGACAAGCATTGTGATTCCAAAGAAGACATTAAGCCCTGGAAAGAACCTCGGTGGTCTCGAATTGTAAGCACATGGGTCACATGGGATTATTGAAATCCCAGTGAAGCCTCTCCGGGAGAGCACAGCCCCCGGTCTGCAAACTGCAGGAACTGCGGCAATCCTACGAGGCTACCCGTAGAACACAGGCGGGCAGCATCAGAGAAGGGAGCACTGGTCAGACGGAAGTAGCGAGATCTGGTCTAAGCATTCACCATTGTAGACTGCCTGGATGTAGCTTGATGCTGATGGCAAACGATAGAGGCGTAGCTGCAATTGTTGTGACTTTGCCTGCCCTTCGAAATGCAAGGAGGCATTCCGCCATCCGAGAACTGCGCAAGGGTCTCCGACGAGAGCGCCGTGGCTCGGCGATAGCGAAGCTTTCGCCAGAAGCAGGGTTGTCGCTCGTCTCCGAAGCTGTGAAAGCTGGACGAGGCCGGCTTCATCACAGCATTCGGCGGCAGTGCAGGACCGAACTGGCCGATTTCAGGGGTTTGGGTTTGGAGTTGCAGACTGCACTTCTCACCCTAAACTCAGGCTGTGGTCTCAGTGCCTGTAAGCACTGTCGCACTTCACAACCAAAAGGCAGCCGAAACACGAGAAGCGAAAGCCTACCTTTTGCAGGCTCTTGCAGAGATTCAACATGAAGATGCACACAGGTTGAGCGAGCACCAACTACGTGGACGTACGTGGACGATTGTGAGTTTCAAGAGAACTATGCGGAAGCAAGAGACGCTCTTCGAAGACACCATACAGTAATCGAGGGTGAGCTAAGTTGCCTGGTGTCGCTGTGCATATGTCGTGAGGTCAAGACAAAGCCACGGTTAAGCGCATTCCAAGTGAGTCCTTTGCAGGTCAATGTCGGGACGTGTAAACCTGTAAGCACTGTCGCCGCACAGCAAGCGCTGTGCCGCTGTGCAAGCCACCGGCGGGTTTTGCAGGGTCCCGGCAGCGGCGAGCGGCTCCAGGGGCGGCCGGGGCCGGGGCGGTGCTCTCAATGCCTTTCTTGCGTTCTGCTTGTCGCATTCGAATTGACGAAGGTTCCTTCGAACGACGGATACCTCCAGCGACATCGCGAACACGACCGATGGATCGAGGCCGCCGGTTGCAATCCGTATTCTGTGATTGCTTGCCAGTGGTTGCTGCAGTTGCTGCTGTGAGATTTACACTTGGTGTGCCTCCGTCTCCCGATCTCTCCCTCCCGTCTCCGTTTGTCTCTCTCACCCTATCTCCCTCTGTCTCTCCTTCGTGTTTCTCTCCGTCTATATTTGTCTCTCTCTCTCTCTCTCTCTCTCTCTCTCTCTCTTTCTGTCTGTCTCTCTCTCTCTCTCTCTCTCTCTCTCTTTCTCTGTGTCTCTCTGTCGCTGACGCTGTCGCTGTGGCTGTCGCGCTGCTTTTCCTGTCTCTGCCTTGCTCTCAGTCTCCCTCTCCCCTTCCCTGCCGGAGTATGCTCTGGCTTTTGTCCTAGCGGTCAGCTTGCCTGCGGGGCTTCGGATTTGGGTCGAGGCAAGCACGGTTTGGTTTACATGTGCGTCCCCTTCTTCAAACCTTAGAGGAGCAGCAGACGGGCCCTCGATGATGCCCGAAGTTTTTTCAGGATTCCTGGAACGTTGTTGGTGATGTTGCCTTGGGTAATGGTCGGCGAGTGCCCTGAGCCCTGAACACTAACCCAAACCTTCCACCTTTCGAAACGCAGCCCCCTCCAGTGATAAATCTCTATCCTTTTCAAAACACGGCTCGTTCTAGGATGTTCTAGGATCGTTCCTGTGGTGCTCTACAACTTGGCAGCAGCTTCTCTTTTCCGCGGTTTGGAATGCTCTGACTCGCAGCTTGCTCGCGATTTGCTCATCGTCCGTCATCTCACTCCTTCGGACTCGCGCCGCTTGAGTACTGTGAAAGATTCCGGCCAATCTTATGCATTTCATCTTCCGTCGGTTCCCGTTCTGTTTCCGTTGTGTTTTTTGTTTTGCTTTCGGTTTGGCCCCGGCTTTCCGTTGTTGCTGGCGGTCCGTTTTCCGTTTGTTTTCGGTTCCGTTCGGGCTTCTATTCGAGGTTCTCATGTCGATAGCACCATCCGAATTGCCTTGTATGGTAGTGTCTTCCACTTGTGGGAGAAGGTTTGTAGAAGCTGACGCTCGTGCAGTCCCCACGTCCGGCTGCATTAGAGGGCCAGGGAATTAGCTGAAGGGCGAATACAAAACGCAGCAACAAGTGGAAGACTCAGTACACCCAACATCAAAACCTGACCCGAAGACAGAACACCCGGCACCCATCCACAACGGAAAACCCGGCACCCATGAGCTCCGAAACGCAACTGGAAACGGAAAACCCGGCACCCATCGGACACGGAACAGAAATCGCAACCACACTGTGTTTTCAATTGTTCTTGCTTTTGCGTGTCGGATTCTGGGGGTGACGTGCTCCCTTCCGTTTCGAAACTCCATTTCAGGTTGCAGGTTCCGTTTCGAAACAAGCCGGCCCAGGCCCATAAACCCAGGCAATCAAACGGAAGTGTCCGCGGGAATGGAAACCGAACGGAACAGCAAAGCAAGGGAGAACCCAAGCGGAATTACAAACAGAAAGAGCCGAGGTCTTGAGTCACTGTTGCCGAAAGCGGCACTCACAATCTATGCCTTGATCGCGTCACCTATCGTTTCTTTCAGCGTTCTGGGTCTGAAATGAAACATCAAACGTGAGACCACTCTCGAGGCGGATACCTGTTCACCACGCCGCCTCCATGACTTAGGTTCCTGTCTCGCATTTGGCAACAATCACAGAGTTCTGCTACTGTACTGATTTATTGCTGTCGCAGGCAGTAAGGGCTTGCCAACCCAGTAAACTTCACAGAGAACCGCACAACCAACGGAGCGACAACTTGATGCGCTTCTTGGCAGGGAGCTCCGAGAACCGTTTGTTGAATCTTTCCAGTGTCTTGGCGGTGGAGAGGGCTGACTGAGGAAGTTGACGCTCTGTGCAAGAGAGAGTGGGTTCAGGTTTCTTGGATCTTCGTCGTCTTCCCATCAACCTCAGCCTCCCAGAGATTATGAGCCACTTCAATCGTGTCTCAGCTAAGGTTAATACCGATTATGTCTGGTGTCAGTTTCGGGCTTGCAGTTTATGCAAAAATCAAGAACAGGTAAGCATTCCATGAAATCTTGGCGCAGCTTTGTAGATATGCAGATATGCCATTCAACAACCACACTGAGTAGGAAGGGAGACTTGTGGGATGCTGAAGCTCCTCAAACGTTGTGCCCGCTGCCTAAAGCCTTTCAATTCAACACGTTTCCGGCCTGGCGGCACGGGCCGGCAATACAGCCCTGCCACTGGCAGAACCCCACAAGTCAAACCTGCCGAGACTGCTGTCAAGGTTCATGGATAAAGTTTTGGTTGGATTAGGCAATGAGCTGAGCATTGCCGTGACTAGGCCGACGCCGACCATTCTTGGCCAGGCCGACTTTCCTGGCGCCGCAGAGCTGCAACGACGTTTTGGTGGTGCCTCTCAGACTCAGACTCTGAGGTCTCCTCTTCCATGCCTTTCGACCTGTGAGACTCGCCAAGACTCAGAGGAGGATCCGCGGCTTGACTCTGCATCGTCTTTCCCGCGGCGGCTCTCTTCGCTCATTTGCACACCAGCGAGGTTCGTGCAGCAGCGGTTCGTGTCAAAGACATGCATCCGCTGGCGGAAGTTGCCAGAGCCTGTTTTCCTGTAGGCACTTGCAAGTGCATCATTGCGAACACAATCGAACACCTACTGAGACCTACTGGCATAGCTGACATATGAGCTGACAGCGATAATGATACGAAGACGGATCGAACGCGCAAGCGAACGAGCGAGCGAGCGAGTCATCCAGCCAGCCAACTAGCAAGCCAGCAAGCAAGCACAAAGTCTTTCACATATGCATGCGCCGCATGAGCAGACGAACACACAAACAAACGAACACAAGACTGGCCAAGCAACAAACCAACGCCGTCTGTGTGTGTTTGAGAGAGGCCCTCTCCGGTAATTGTTTCGCAGATCCGTGGGTGTTTGGACTTGGCCATGCAGTCATGACTGGTTTGCGAGGCATTCGATTGCCGGTGACGGTCGGCCATTCCAAGTAAGAAAACAGTATTCGCATGTGATGTATTCTGGCTTTCGGTAGGGGTATACACTCGGCAGGGAACCTGCGCCGCCAGACACTCACACTGACTCCAATGTGCACTGCAAGTCCAACCCCAACTTCAACGCTTGCTGTCGATGTTTGAAACTTAGGTCGGAAGTGCAACATGTACCCGCACACGTCCTAAGATGTACCTGAAAGGTCTGACATGAAAATCTGTGCGCTGCCTTTTTCGCCAAGAAGGTAGCGGTAAGTAAACAGAACCGGAGGGATCGAAGAGCACATCGCAGGTTTCAAACTTCCTTGCCTGATACTTGTGTTTAGGACCGGACATACGGCATTATCAGAGGCCTCTGCACCTGCAAAAGGCGTGTTCAAGCAGGCAGGCAGGCAGGCAGGCAGGCAGACGGACACAGACCGACGCAGACGGTCGCAGAGACAGACGCGCAGACAGACGCGCAGACATACAGACATCTTTTGCGAGGATCGGGAGGCTTCTCAGAAGGGTACTTGTCAGTGTGTTTAACCCTATTCAACAATATTCAGAAATGTTTGAATTTCTGCAACTTTCTGCTAAAATATTCGGAAATGTTCCGTTTTCTTCCGAATTCTCCGGGAAACTTCCATAATATTCTTCATTCTTCCAGGTTCTTCACCATTCTTCTTAGATCTTCGAAATTCTTCGAAATTCTTCGTTGTATCTGCGGAGAACTTCAAACACTTTTCTAGACTTCTGCTTGTTTCCCAGCTGAAACATGTCAATAGGAGCATCGGATAACTGTCGTCGGACCTGATTCAGACCGGCAGCTGTGCTCAGTCAGGCTCACACGAGTTTTTAGGCCTGTGCTGCCAGCAGCCATGGGCAAGCGCAAGCACGCTCGGGAAAAGCGGCTTCCGGAGTACTTCAGATGCAATTGAATCATTTGTGTTTGATTTTGATTTGAGTCAGGGAGGACGGCTCACCCGTGCTGCTCCTGTGCCTCGAGCCTGGTTTTGGCCGCAGGTTCTGATGTGAGGCCGGACTGTCTCGCTGAAAATCGGGCAGCATTTCCTTCCCCCAAGCATGCCGGTAGAAAGGGGAAAAACAGAGGAAAAAACGCAAACCTCAACCGAAGAAAAAGGTAGAAAAATGTAGAAAAAGGTAGAAAAACGAAGAAAAAGGTAGAACAAGGTAGAAAAAGGTAGAAAAACGAAGAAAAAGGTAGAAAAAGGTAGAAAAACGAAGAAAAAGGTAGAAAAACGCAGACTTGCGAAGAAATGGGGCATACCGTGTGTGTGTGTACAGATGAAAAGTGGTGTTGGGAACCAGGCATGTCTTGACAGACAGGCAGAAACCGGAAGATTTTGGAAGACAATTGGAGTTGTCTAGGGCTCAGGGTGTTGAGGGTTTGGGGTTTGGAGCTTTTGAGATTTATGGCTTGCAGGGTTCGGTTGAAGCTGAGGATTCGCAACTGTGTAGCCCCCATGATGTCGCAAAAGTCAAAGCCTTCCACCCTGAACCCTGAGCCTTCGAAGTAAAGCCTAAACCATGAGCCCTAAACCCTAAACCGTGTTTAAGCCTCAAATTGAAACCCTCACATAATTCGCATTTCTGCCACAATCTTCCAAGTAATTCGTTTTTCTTCAACAATCTTCCAAATACTTCGTTTTTTTCAACAATCTTCCAAAGAATTCGTTTTTCTTCAAAAATCTTCGAAATAATTCATTCTTCTTCTTAAATCTTCGAGTCCATTGTGTAGCTGTTAAGAAGCACCAATGCCGAGAAGTACCCCAGGCAGACAGGCAGACACGCAGACAGGCAGACAGGCAGACAGGCAGCCAGGCAGACAGGCAGACAGGCAGACAGGCAGACAGGCAGACAGACAGAGACAGACAGACAGAGACAGACAGACAGAGACAGACAGAGACAGACAGAGACAGACAGAGACAGACAGAGAGAGACAGACAGAGACAGACAGACAGAGACAGACAGATACAGACAGACAGAGACAGACAGAGAGAGACAGACAGAGACAGACAGAGACAGATACAGACAGAGACAGAGAGAGAGAGAGAGAGACAGACACGGACACAGACACACAGACACACACAGACACACACAGACACAAAGACACACAGACACACAGACACACAAACACACACACACACACAGACACGCAGACACACAGACACACAGACACACAGACACACAGACACACAGACACACAGACACACACACAAAGACAGACGGACAGACAGACAGAGGCAGAGACAGACGTCGTTTCAACCTATGCGGCCTTCGCGTGGCATGATAATTACTGGGTGACTTTCGCGATTTTTCCAATCTGGATGCAGACCCCATCGATGCTCCAAGGGCCTCTTCTAGACAAATGCATGGACTGCCCGAAGAGCGCTGGCTGCTTCTGACAGTGCAGAGTTTTTTTCGGGATGGCTTGTCGTGCGCGTCCTGTAAATTCTCTGCGGCTTCCACACGGCGTTCCGACTCGGCTCTGCCGGCGTCTTCGGAAGCAAAAAACGCAGTTCTGCCTGGCTTTATTGTGAGTGCAGCTCGGCAGTTAAAAATTACTTTGCTGCCTCCCAGGTTTACCATAACCCCTTTAGCCTTGGCGGTGAGCGGCAAAACGCAGCACGACCGGAGGACCTCGAGCATTTGAGCCGGTAGAGGCAACGTGGTGCTCGCAGCCAGGACAATGACTGCCGTGCAGCGGAGGCTGATCCACTCTTCCCTTCGACCTGGGTAATGCCTTTGGACTGAGCTTCTGGGACTTGCTGAGGCTGTTTTGTGGATATCAGAGGGACAGCAACAAGCGCAGCAGATAGCAGCAAGGGGGTGAGTCGGAGGGAGGAGCCGGAGCAGGAGCCATCGGCGCTGTCCACCGTCGCTGTCGCCACGTCGCCGTCGTCTGCATATCGGTCTTACGAGTCAACCGATCCAGAGGCCAGCATACGGATCTCACACCACTTCGAGGGTGCTGCGACGAAGCTGTGGCCTCTTTGAGGAGTGGCAGGACAGATGCATGAGTTTCAGACTCGAACGAGACGTGCGATTCCATAGATGTTGAAGTGTGGAACATCTCGATTGTCTAGCGCAAGGACGCACCATGTTACGGAGAAGACCTGCTGGTTGTAGTGAGGGACCTGGCCTTGGACAAGAAGGACAGGTCAAGTGGCTGATTTTTTCTACAGTCCGGCTGCAATTCTTGGCCTTTGTCTGCAGGATGCCGACTATGCGGCCGCTCAGACGGCATCGCTAGAGACACCGACCGAAGGGCTCCTGGCACCCATGTGATCCCATGTGCAGGTTTGGGCAAATCCTGTTCCGGCTGACATCAAGGACATGGTGCGATAGATATTCAGGATCTGAGGCCGCCTAGATAAGAGCCTAGCTGAGCTGCAAGGATACTATGAAGCAGTCGCGGACAATGGAGGCAGCTTTGCAAGTTTGAGGGGTGACATTGTTGTGACGGTTGGCAGGGGCTAGAGAGCTGACGAGCGGCTAGCGGCAACAGTCGACAGGAAATGCGGAACAAGTCTTTAGCACCTCGTCCTGGGCTGGGACCGCCACAGGAGGCGACATTGACGAGAACACCGTGAGCTTCGTAGGAACCCAACATGACCTAAAGTAGGATGGAGGATGACCAAGGGTTATATGTTCTGCTACCTGTCCCGGTGAACAAATAAGCCTCTGAATCTTTGCACAATGCTTTCGTAGAACATGAATGAAAGGTTCCAGGTCAGTGCTCACTTTACACTGTTTCGAAGCTCCTGTAGCTGGAGAGTTCAGAGTTGAGGCCCGTGCTCTGGGCTTCATGGAGAGCTACCTTGTCGCGGAAGCCGAGTCCGGAGACTGGTCCCACGTACACTTTCTGGGTGGCGATGGATTTGAGGCGGAGCGTCAAGCGACCGTCTAGCTTCCTCCTCATACTACTATCACAGTCCGAAATGCTCGTAGTTGTCTGGAAGGTGACTGCAATCACCTGCACATGTGCAGCACTTGTTATCCTCGAGGAGCTTGAGGCAGCACAGATATCTACGTGGGAATCGAAATGAGCTATAATCTGCATGCATGCACATGCGTTTGCTTTGCTATGAATCCATTGGCCTTGCATCATCGCTTAAACCTTCTTGGCTTCTTGGCAGCTTTTTAGCTTCTGCGCACCCGGCCTTGTGGCTTCTCATCATTTGAGTTTCTCATCCGTGGTTTCCGATATAATGGTCATGCCTTCAAGTATGCATTTTGCCGCTAGAAAGCCATACTGCCCCTGCGACAGCAACGACTACCTTATGCTTCTTCTGTTGACTATATTCACGTCGTGTTTTCGGCGTACATTACACTACACCAGGAATCAAGACGATGGTTTGCTAAGAGTAGTTGCTTTGTAACTTTGTTCGTTCCGGATTGTCATAGCGCGTACTTGGCTTGTCTTCGCATGTCTTGCTATCATGATTATCGCGGCAGATATGGCTGCTTGGACTGTTCCGGTTGCTCCCACGAAGGCCATTTCTTCAGAGTCAAAACAAACAGAAACAGGCAGATGGCAGATAATCAGGTATGTAGTGCTTACTTAGAGCAACATGCAATTGAGAATAGATAGATACAGACTGACATAGAAGCAGTAGCCAGTGGTGATCGAATATATGTATATACACTACATACTACATACTTATGTACGATGTACTATGTACTATATACTAGATACTGTAAACGATGTACTATATACTATATACGATATGCTTTGCACTATATACTATATACTCTGTACTATATGCTATATGTTCTATACGTGCCTACACACACACACACACACTTCCTCGTGGTGGTTGGGTATGGTTGGTTGAATGCTGACGGACACATGTTGTTCTGCAGTGATTTATAACTGTTTTTGACATGACGGGTTTCATCATTATCGTGTGGACGGCTCGGCATGCAGAACCGTACAAACAACCGGTGTATCATGCAGAGCAACGAGCAATCAACCTTGATCATATTCTAGGGGCTGCGCGCAGGTGCGGGCAGCGCAGGTAGAAGCCTGAAGCTAGGCCACGCACCCGCCCTTGTGTTTTCCCCTCCCGTTGCCCTCTCAGCCCTCGTCGGCAGCCCGCACCCGCCCTCCGCCGAACCCCGCTGATGCTGATGATGCGCGCCCTTTTGGGGGTTTCCCAAACCAACTCAAAAACTGGCAAAAAAAAGACTCCAGCCACAAGGCCGGTTACGTGCGCCCGAGGGCTCATGATGCTCGCCGGCTGGCTCCCTGGTCGTCCACGGCGGCCCCGAAACCCGCCATACCGTGGGGAATGGCTGCAAAACGCATGCGCGTTCCGAGAGGCCTCCGGGCGAGGTTTCGCGCGGCCCACTGGAAAAACGAAGGTCCGATGAAGCAGGGCCGGCGGCACGGGCGGTCGTGGCTTTTGCTTCGCAGAACAAGATGTTTCGTCTGAGCTGTATAAGCTCAGAACAGGGCAGCGAGTGCCGCAGACCCCAGAAGGCATGGCCTAAACCCCCAACTGTGGGGCTCCACCGCTTGAATTCACTTTAACCCCTCCAGAACCAATCACCTCAATTTACTTAAACCCCAGGCCGAGCTTTCAGTGACGGAGCTGTTTCGCAAGATCGGGGACTAAACCCTAAACCCTGCACTTTCAAGCCCCTCAACTCTGAACCCTCCACCCTGAACCCTAAACCCGAAGCGAGACCTTGTGGGGTTCAGGGTTTCCGCTGTCTTGGCTTTGCTTCCAAGTAAAACGCCAAGAACCCGAAACCCCAAACCCCTATCCCTGAAGCCCAGCTGTCAACCCTAAACCCTCGTCATGGGCGAGGCGAGCAGGTAAGGTGGGCGGAAGGGGGCAGGGGGGGCGGGGGAGGCGGGCTGGGCGGGAAGGGTTTGGGAAAAGGGCAGCCCCATCAATTACTTCACTGATAAAAAACGGGAGCCTGGGCGAGGCAGGCAAGGTGGGCGGGTGCTGGGCGAGGTGAGTTCTAAGCGACATGAACGAAAGGAACGAAAGCAAACAGGGGGGCGGAGGGTCTAGGCGGGCACTGGAGCTCCTTCAATTACTTCACTCAAAAAGGGGGCGGGGGGAGCGGGGGTACGGGGGGAGCACGCGCAGCCAGGGGGGCGGAGGAGACTACTTTCACGGGCGCCGCCCTCTGCTGACGCAAGGGGGTCGGCGGATTGTGCATGTAGGGTTGATATGTTGGTCTCGCAATCGCTCCCACTTGGTAATGGTTTCCGGGGCTGCCTGAATCGCGGGAAGGTTTGCAGAGCCCGCAACCTGAACGGACACCTTCTTCCCAATGGTCTGCACTGCTGTCAAGCGCTTTGAGCCCTGTGACCACAAACTGCACGTGCAGTCCCTGTCGGCTGACGCCCGTGGGGTGCTCACCCCAGCGGCGGCGTTCCATGGGAGCAGTTTGCGGCAGCGGCTGGAGGCGGCCTGGTGCGCTTCAAAGCTCGTACTATCTTCAACTAGGCCCCTTGTGCTGAAACTATCCCTGCTACATTGCCGGCGGCCATTGCCTTGGGACTCTAGAGCTTCTTTCGTCGAGGTTCTGAACAATAACGAATTGCCCCCAGCAATCCTTCATACAGTTCTCAACACGCGCGAGGCCCATGCCTTTGGGGCTGGAGCAGGACAAAAGATGTCCTTTGAGGTCGGCATGATCTTGTAAGTCCGGGCTCCATCTTTCCGAACATATCGATCCAGCATGGCTCATCTGCAGGTCCTGGAAGGAAAGCCCGCAGAGGAGAAGGCCAATGCCCATACGATGCAAAAGCTGGATGGGTCATAGCTTCTGTCTAGAGCAAAGCTCATAAAGTCGGAACGAATACACACCATCCCAGAGCCGAGCTGCCGAGCTCGATGTTTCAGTTTGGAGGCAGTGGGTGTTACCATTGCCAGACACCGCCAGCATCGGCATCACCGGTCACACGCCACAAAATGCAACACAAGCTGGGGGCCCTCAAGCCGCACACAAAACACATGACGGAAACATGCCGGCAAGCATATCGCATGATCTGCTCAAGCGGCTCGAAGAAAGATTGAAAATTAGAATTGCCCCTGGTGGAAAGCATAGCAAGCATAATCTGCATCAGTGCGGGGTCGAGTGCCGCTTTTGGACCATTCCAACGTGTGCCTGGATATCCACTTTTAGAAGGATGCCGTTTCCCAAACATTCGCAATGAATCGCATCCTTTGGCTTGACATGTGATAAACATGCCCCCAACTGCAACATGATGCTTGAGTACCTGCGCGTCTGAGACCTTAGATGCGATCTGCATCCCTCAGATTGTCACCGCCTTGACGACGGCAGCCAAGCGCCGGCAGAAGGCAGTCCAGCTGCTGGAGACCGGCAGCCTGCAGGCTCTCGGGAGGAATTTTAGGGAGCCAGGATCCCTCTCCTGTGCCAGGCATGGGATGTTCCGTCCATGATCAAGTGAGCAGACTCGACGGTCGCCGACCAAAAAGTTGCTTGGGGTGTCTGCAACACTGGTCGCTGGACGCCATGTAGTTATTGTGGGCGCTCATTGTTTTCAACTGGCTTCTGCAACATGCACGGTTCCAAGGGACTAGTGCGGTATTTTATTGCCCCTTTTCCACCTCTCACTTGTAGTGGCAATCCACGATCCACTAAGCAGTTGGAGTGATGGCTGCAGAAGTACCCAATTAAACAAATCTGCCTTGCAACGCCATGCGGTGCCACGGATCGACGGACTTGGCCGGGGCCCATGGCGGTCGATGTCCACCGTTCACCCACATTTCAGCAGATCTCCGGCTTGCCAGGAGCTACGACACGGCTGTCCGCGGTCTCAACAGTCTCGGCGACGGCTGATTTCGGCCGTCCTCGCGGTGCCGCCCTCTTCTCCATTTCTGTGCAGCATGCCGAACGCTGCTTCTGTGCAGCATTCTTCCATTTCCTTTGCGAAGTCTCTGGAGGTCGCTGCTCTGTTGACATTGCCTGCGCTGCGCTGCGCTTTTGCAGGCTCGGTGTGTTCGGCGTGTGTTCGATTGCGGTGTGCAGCGCGTTGCCCTTGCAAGGCCCGGAGGTGTCTCAGAGACGAAGTCTCGTTGGAAGAAATGCCGAGGACGAGGCCATCCCTTGGATCTGCACGTGAGCTGCGATCTAGCCAGGATTTGGGGCCTTAATCGGGGCTAGGTTGTTTTGTTAGGGTTAATAATGTTTAAAACGCATTTGCGATGTAAATTTGTTGTTGGGCTTTCCTTTATAATGGGGTGAGGTTGCGGCTTTCCGAATTGGGGTCTAGGGTTTGAGGGTTTTGGGGTTTAGGTTATCGTTTTAGGTTTACAGGTCTCGTTCGCCTCGTTTTATACAAACCTTGGTTCAGGTTGGTGTAGAGTGTTTAGAGTTTAAGGGTTTAGGGTTACAGGCGCGTTAGGATGATTTTTTTCATGATGTTTGAGTTGAAGCTTTTTGCTGGGAATCGTGCAAAGTCCGGTCGCGGCTTCCGCGCGTGAATCATGCCGTGAATCCCGTGCTTCAGTGCTCGAACCCCCTTGTGTGTAGATCCGGCTGTTCCAGGGGGCGAATCAGCTCTGCGATTAGCTCGTGCGCGAGTCCGTGTCATCTGTGGGCAAATCCGTCTTTCGCGAAGCAGCCGCTGGGTTCACAAATCGTCTTCAATAAGTACAACCTTAGTTTTTCAAGACGCCGCGGAGGTCAAGTTGCTTTGAGCTCGAACAGCTACTGCTCATGAGGTTCTTAATCATCACTTCCTTGCCCGAGGCGTGTTCTTGCTTCTGTTGATCTAAAGGTCCTCGCCCTCGGGTATGGAACTTACGAAGCGAAAGGTTTGCCCTGGCTTCTCACAAGACTTGTGCTGGCGAAAATTGTTTCAAAACTAGTGAGTTCCGTGGAAGTACGGAGAGGATAATCTAGTCGAAACCTTGCAATACGTTTGCCAGCGGCTGGGGGCGGGCTGCAGGGTTTGCATTACTTGTGAAGGTTTGCCGGAGTGTCGGAAGAGTCGAAGTGAGACGAAAGATGGCACACCGGCACGAGGACGCCAGGACCGTCAAGCTCTACACGCTGGAAGTTGGCCGCACGGCCGCTGAACTGCAAGAGTGCAACGCGCGAGGGCGGTTTCACTCTTTCTGTTCTCCTGCGTTTGTTTGTGGTACACATAAGCACTCCTTTCTCAAATATCTCAATGAGCTCAGGACCACTACGTCTGGAGAGACAAGGACTGCTTACTGCGTTGTTCGAGGATGCGCTTTCTCCGTATGTTGCAGGAGTTGGAAGCCCATCGACCCCTAGCCCACCTTCATTCACATGTCGAAAGCAAGCGATGGTAAGCGCATGTCCCAGCGTTTGCTTGTCAGCGAGGATGTCTTTGTTGGCATCGTGGCTGATGCCGGCGAGTGGACTGTCGACATAGGCAACGTATCGCAGCATCGTCCCGCAGCTTTCCTGCCTCGAATAGCTCGCGGAGCTCTAGCTGCCTGTTCGCAGATGCCGTCCGAGCTGGCTTCGACGAGGCATTGGCTGTGATATGCTGTGATTGTGCATGGTGCAATCTGCTCCACATCACAGACAGGATCAGGAATCTCAAGTGCCTTTACTGCAGGCCTGCGAGAGTGGGACTGCGGAGCTCTTCTCGGCTCCACTCAATGTCGTCAAGGCAGGTGGAGCTGGGGACGTGCTGCAAGATTGGCTCTAGGTCCTCTTCTGTCGCATCCATGTCGGACTTCGAGATCAATAGAATGCCGCCTTAGCATCCGATTCCGGGATGTACGGACTGTCGTGTTGCGGGTTGGCTACCCTGCTTTCGGGCACGGAAGCTGCGGCGGTTCGGACGTTGGGAGAGTCTTGGAAACGGATTGACAAAGGCGTTCCTTGTTCCCTATCTTGCAGGACTACGTCAAGGAGTTGACATCTTATGGCCTCGCAGCGCGAGCGTGAGACCCAGACTACGACCGCAGTAGCATCCATGACGACCAACCGGTACAGTTCTTTCTGGTTGATGGGCATTTCGTACTTTGAACAGCTATTAATTATAGGAACATGTACTACTACTACTACTACTACTACTACTACTACTACTACTACTACTACTACTACTACTACTACTACGACTACGACTGCTACTGCTACTGCTACTGCTACTGCTACTCCTACTACTACTACTACTACTACTACTACTACTACTACTACTACTACTTCCACTACTACTACTACTACTACTACTACTACTACTACTACTACTACTACTACTACTACTACTACTACTTCCACTACCACTGCCACCGCCACTGCCACTGCCACTGCCACTGCCACTGCCACTCACTACCACTACCACTACTCCTACTCCTACTCCTACTGCTACTCCTACTGCTACTGCCACTGCTACTGCTACTGCTACTGCTACTCACGTCAGGGCCTTGAACGTGCGGTTTGGGGCTATTTCCGCACAAAGTTTTTTGTTGTGTAACGCACGTGTGCGTGTAGGAACAAGCGCCAGCGATCGACCGAAGCTTTCGGCTCGATCGCCTTTTCGATTTCCCCTCGTCCTTACGCCCCTCTGTGTTCTGGTCATGTCGACTGGTTCCAACGCCTCCGCCGCCGCCGCCGCCACACGGGCGGCTGCTGGGGCCCACGCGGCCGACTTCGCCGCGGCGGCTGGCTTGGACTGGGCGATACTGGGCGCCGCCTACGTTAACTTCGGCGCCTACGTCCCTGGTGGGGGTTGGGGCTTTGGACGGCGCCCATTCGGGCGACGACGAGGAGGAGATCGTGGTGCCCTCCATCGTGCCCATGCCGGGCTTTGGGGTGGCACCTGGGCCTCCGGGCTTTTTGGCCTCGGCTGTGGGCGTTCAGGCCTCGCCTCGACGCACACGGAGGAGCATTTCTTTATCGACAACTTCGTCGCTGGCGCTTTGGAGGGTGAGCTCGCCGCGGCGGTTGTCAGCGGGCGACCTGGCCCGCCTCGCGCCGTGGCTCAGCCTGCGGCTGGCCCGCCCACACCGCCTTCGTCGTTTCCGCCGTCTCCGTCCGGGAATTTGCCGCCAGCGAGCACGACGTTGCCGCCTATGACAGGCGCCCTCGGCGGCTTCGTCCTCATCGCCGGGCGTGTTGCCGGCCGAGGCTTGGCTCGCCCCGTCTGGGGCGTCGTCTTCGGTTGACCCTGGCCCGTCCGCTATCGATGAAAACTCTTCCCGACGGCCACGAAAACATGACGTCAAATATCACTGCGCCCCTCCTCCTCCACCTCCTCCTACTACTACTGCTACTACTCTTGCTCCTACTGCTACTACCACTACCACTACCACTGCCACTACTTCTAACTACCACTACTGCTACCACTGCTGCTACTACTAGTACTACTAGTACTACTAGTAGCACTAGTACTACTAGTACTACTAGCACTACTAGTACTACTAGTACTATACTACTACTACTACTACTACTACTACTACTACTACTACTACTACTACCAACTACTACTACTACTACTAACCCCTCCCAACTAGATTTGTTCCATCCGGGCAGCGGTAGCTGCTAGGCGCCTTAACTGCGACAGCTGCAGAAGATGCAGCGGTTCAGGCTCCTTATCTGTGACAGCTGCAGAGGTTGCCGAGGCTCAGTTTCCTGAACTGTCACAGCCGGTGAAAGTTGCAGGGGCTCAGGCCGCAAAACTGCGGCAGCAGTTGGAGTTGCAAGCTCGACGGGGAAGAAACTGCTAAACTGCAGGTGGTCTGATAGTACGAAAATACTGTAAATACCGTGCCAAACGCACGTGCTGCCAAGAAGGGTTTAACATTTCTAAAACCTGAAGCGCAACATCTTGTAAACATCAAAAACAAAGATGCCAGCTGTATGTGGGAGGGGTTGGCCAGCACCCCTACCGCCCAACCTCGGCGCAGGAGGGTATTTTTTTGAAGTGGTGTGTGTGGTGTGTGTGCGTGTGTGTGTGTGTGTGTGTGTGTGCGCTTGAGTGTGGAAATATTGTTCAGGGTGTCCGCAAAACAGTGTCGTGATCATACCCGAAGAAGCTTTCCCCCACCCAATTTCGAGTTTTTTTGCAAACAGTTCGAAACAGCAAAGGTCAATATGCATAGTCGAGAAGTAGGGGTTCAGAATATGTAACAAAGTCTGACATCACGAAAGTATCGTACATACCGAGTAAAACGGCTCTTGTGGTGATACTGTTGGGTGTGTTTGCGTAACGCTGTCGTCATCATCCCCCCCTCCCCACACCCCCCAGAAGCAAATCCAAAATCAAGAGCCCGAGTTTGCAAACTCGACAAGTCGATTTTCAGGGTTCTCGTGATGATCGCAGATGACGAAAGTGCCGTAAATACCGAGCAAAATGGATGCTGTGTTAACATGGTTAAGAGCAAGTGTACTTGGTAGGGGGGGAACCTACTACTAGTACTAGTACTAGTACTAGTACTAGTACTAGTACTACTACTACTACTACTACTACTACTACTACTACTACTACTACTACTACTACACCTAATACTCGTACCAGTACTAGTATACTACGACTACTACTAGTACTACTAGTACTGCTACTGTGCATCATCGTTATGTTGTATGATGACGGCGGCTACTGCTAGTACTAAAATTACTACTGCCGTAGTGCGCCCGAAGCTTGTTTCTCCGCGCCACCTGGCAGAGCGGTTTCCAGCGGGTACAGAACTCCTAAAAGGAGACTTTGGTTGCGAAACTCAGGTGCCCAGACGGCGATGTTGGTTGTCAAGTACCCTAAATGGAGATATTGGTTGAGAAAACATAGACCCCAAGAGCAGATAAGACTGGTTGCCAAACCCAACACCCCAAAAGTTGAAGAACCCAGAACCCTAAAAGGAGATGTCGGTTGTTGACTCCCAGGGCCTAAGCGGAGATTTTCGTTCGATCCCAAGTACCCCAAAAGGAAATATTGTTTGCAAACCCTCGACCCTGAAAGGAACAGAAGGGTATTGTTGGTTGCCAAGCCTAGCCCTCTAAAAGGAGATGTTGGTTGAGAAACCCAGAACCCCAAAAAGGAGATGTTTGGTAAGCCGATGTTGGTTGAGCACAACCCTAAACGGAACCTGAAGAACATGTTGGTTAGGAGGAGAATGCTGGCTGTTCGAGACCCGCAATGAGGGTTCGGCCTTCCCAAAACTGCGCATGCTCGGGCCTGAAATTCGGTTCGAAATAAATACAAATATAAACACGGCGGGCCCGAAACTGACAGAAACCTTTCCTGCTGCACGAAATATTGAAGTCAAAACTCCTGCCGCGCTGGGCGGAATCTGTCTCCGGCGATCTTAACGACGCCAAAATGCAAAGGGCCGATCTGCGGCCGGAATTGCTGCGTTTGGTGTTCCACACTGACCCCAGGCGAAGGAAGCAGCGGCCGGAGCGGAAGAGAGTTCCTACAGCAGGCGAAGCTTCAAGGCCGGGCAATTTCACGGAAGCAGTCCCCATTCAGTTTGGGCTGTTCGGTAAAGTATCGAGGGAAGCTAGAGATATTCAACGTTTTCCTACCGTGTCATACTCTGAGTCTTGCGCCTTCGATTGAAGTGTCTGATACTCCTGCCGGCAGCTCGACGTCCTTCTACGCCCATGAATCTAATTTTGCGCGCATCAACCGAACACTAGATTGTGTTCTTTCACTAAACGGGACGAGAAGATCTCGGATGACTACGGAAACTGCCTGCCTGCTTTGGGACGAAAGGTTCTTGGTCTGGTCCGATGCAACTCAACTTTTCGAGCCGTAGACAACGCATCAGCAAGCACTTCAGAGCAGGGCTGGAACAAGCCATGCACTCATTTCATCAACGGTCCGGGTTTGATGTGGGCAAGACAGCCTGTTCGAAACTGCGATTCAAGACCTCAGCAGGGACATGGAACACTTTCCGCACTAATGTCTCTTTGTGCAATCAGGACCTCTCCCCGGAACTAAAGGAAGCCGCCCGGGAAAGCGGCGTGGCCGAGGCAACCGGCCAAGTTTCACAGATGCAGCGCAACACTTCCAGGGATTACGTAACTTGGCTGGTCGGTTGAAGGCAGAGGCTTCTGGCAAGCCCATGCAGATAGTCCTTCAGAAGTGCGTCGCTCACTTAAGCGATGTCATTTGTGATTTGCGGGTGCTGTCGAAGTCTCCCGTGGTCTATGCAGCCTGTGAGGATCATCCCACCTTGGATGGTTCCAAGAGAGCCATGCAAAAGTTGAAGCCTCGGCCGTAATGAATAAATCATGGCGAGTCTTTGCACTTGCCCAATCTTGCCCACACTCAGGTTTAAAGCATATGTGGAATTGGCAACAGATGCGGCCCAACGCTGGCTTCCATCAGATGCCGAGCTGAATCAGTGCCCCTGGGGCCTTCATGTCACATCACGTGCGACACTTGGGAGCAGTTGGGATACCGTCCAACGTGATTTGCGTACAACGCAGCTTATGCAGGCAAAACCATGCTGCGGTCTCACGTTTAATGAGCAGAGCAGCAGACCCTGCAAGATTCGAAGGTAATCTCGGTGCAAGATTGCTGAACCGCAAAGCGCCCGCAGTAATCAGTGTGTTGCCGTACGTGTCCATGGAGCCATGGCCCCGAAGGCCAGGGTTAGAGCCGCATGGCAACACGACTCTACAGCAGACTCGCAGTAGACGCGACTTGTGTAGCTTTGAAAATTGCCTGATAGACTGCTGAGGCCTGCTCCTTCTTTGCATGTTGACACAGACCCCATCGGCAGCTGGTTTTGCTGTGCGTTCGCCCTGCCAGAGGTGTCGGCCATCATCCCAAGCAGCAGTGCCCTGGACCTGCGGAGGAAGCGTTTGGAGAAGCTGCTGACCAAGGCCCAAGGCCGTGTGCACACGTTGGTCAGCAGAGCGGCAGAATCTGGCACGAAAGGCTGCGCCTGGACCCTCCCGGGTTGCAAGTACTCCGGCCTTGTCCGAAGCCAGTAGGCCGTGGAGAGCAATGCCACTCACAGCGTCTTTGTGAAGGGTTTTCCGTTTTTGTCAGGTTGTCGCGCCGTGCCCCGCCTGGAGGTGCCCCATATCATGGCGCTCCACCCGTTGCTTAGCTCATGTCTGCACGCATGTCGACTATATGTGCTTGGCCCGAGAAGGGCTGCCGCCTTTGGACTTTGCAGTCTTTGCAGACAGCGTGCCACTCGAAGTAGCAGCAACCGCTTTTCAGTAGTTGGCTTGAAGGAGGTGATGTTTTTGCCATTTTAGCTTCGACAAACAATTCTGGATTTTATTATTGTGTGACGGTCGTGTCTTCAGTCCAGGTTCGAATACCCACCACAGAATCACGGTGCAGCAACAAGCTTGGTGCTCGGTGATTTGAGGGTAACTTACATTGATCCTGGCAAATGCACTGTTGCCGTATGTTGGACAGCTTGGCCAGGAAGCTTCTTGAGAACTCGAGACTTTGCAGCCGCGGCCTTTGTTGCAAGCCCACCCGTTCCTCGAGCCGAATCTCTGCGTAGTTTTTCTTCCGAGTGCGGCGAGGCGCTGGAACCGATGCTGTGCACATGCAGCTGCGGCTCCAGCATGTTGGGCTCGAGACTGGCGATGGTACATGGAGTCATGGAGACCGTGAGACCGTGAGACCGCGAGACCGTGGCCTGTGCAGCCATGTGGCCAGGGCATCTCCTTCGTCTGCCTCGCGAAAGCCAACCGCCCACGGCCCAGAAGCAGACTTTCACTTGCGCCGGCTGGCGGCTGGCAGACGTTGGCAACTCTGCCAGGCTTCGTCCCGTCTCGCTACGTCAAGCTCCCAGAAGGCGCCGTCTTCTTCCACATTCCTATCAATCGATTCCTCGGTCCAACATCGTATATCTGTACTGTACTGTACTGCTACCTACTGCAAGACAGTAGCTGCGCGGTTGGAGACATCGCGCTGCATCAATTGCGGCGGGCCTCATTTATGAGATCTCTGTGAAACTTGGAGCTTGTCTCAGCCGACGCTCAGCCTTCGCAGGTAAATCCGGAGCGGATCAGCTCCTTGGTCCGCCAGCTGCTAGGGAGCGAGGAGTCGGACGCAAATGGTGCGAACTGGAGGTGTGCTTCTCGACCACCCTGTCGGCTGCGTGGACTAGAGTCTACGCCACACAGCTTGTACTTTCATGTCTTGCTTAATCTGCGAAAAAATACGGCATACATGTTGTTGTATACAGTGCCATAAGGTTATTGGGAACTGGGTCTACATGGTCATATACAGATCTGTTTTCCACGTACTCATATACTCATGTACTCGTGTACATGTCATACACATGTTCATATTCATGTACGTGCGCATACACATACCAGCATACTTGCAGTACCTACATACCTACCTACCTACATGCATACATACATAAACACGCAAACGTCGAACAAAGTCGGTATCACAGACTTCGCCACGGATGTGAAAACAGTTCGGAAAAGAGTGGCCCGTTCCGTGACTTTCGCTCGAATAGCATCTGTGCGTGATAGGTTGCCTGTCTGTCTTTCCGTCTGTCTGTCTGTCTGTTTGTCCTGTCGCGCGTATGTACGTATGGATGTATATGAGTGTATGTACGCATGTATGCATGTATACATGGTTGTGTATATGCCGTATATATGCATGTGCAAGGATATGGTTCAGGGTATATGATATGTCAATGCTGGCATACGGAATGTTGCACAGGATGCGTTGTGTATGCAATGCTGCTATGTGGTATACATGCTTAATGAAGTGCATGAGATAAGATATATGACATCTGAGACATGATGTAGGCTATGTGAATATGTGATGTATGATGTATGGATTACGGTATGTATGGTACATGTTATACAGTCAATCAATATATATATATATATATATATATATACATACATACATACATATATACCGGTTGTGCATGGTACATGGTTCATGATATCTGACACATGATATATGGTGAAAGTTTTGTTTTTCACCGATGGCATTTTGCCATCGGTGGCATTTGCACATGCCCTGTACGTCAAATTTTCGAAGCATGCCGTATGAGATGTGAGATATAAGATATGAGATGTTCATTATGAGATGGCGCGGTATGTGATATGCGGTTCTGTAAGTGTGCATGCGCACATATATGTATATGTATTACATGTAGCTGTAGATGTAGATGCATATGCATACGTATACATAATCATATGGTGTATGTATACGTATAATTGCATGGGAAGCTAAGTAAATGAAGACATTGCCAGAGCACTACGTTACACATAGTCATAGTTGGTGTTGCACTGGGGGTTGCAAGACAACCATCCGTAAAAAAGGCAAGCTATTTCACCCTCTCTATTCGTTTGCTGTTACAGGGACAGGCAGAAATCCATGCGAGAACCATAGAACCACCAACAGCCCTTGCTCCAAGAACTCTCGCAGGCTCGTCCATGAGGTCGATGCAATCGACGGATTGCTGCAGGTCTTCTTTGCCACACGGTCTTGATGTGAGCGCCGACTAGCAGGGTACATGCAGACTCGAATCGTCGCCGTTGGCGTATCCGAGCCCGAAGGAGAGCATGCAGCAGAAGCAGGCCATCGAGCGAAAAGTCAGGCGAGGGCACTGCTATCATACGTTAGTTCTTTGGCCGTTTCCATTTCGGTGATCACAGGCAAAAAAACATCCTGGAAGAGCAGGCCCGTAGGGACGAAATAGGTTTATTGCTTCTGCAGCAAGAGCATCTGCTATTGGCGGCTGCAGAACCCATTGCAGACTCGCAACATCTCGTGATGTTGACTGCAGGTCCGAGAAGCCCGTCAGAAGGACGTACCGGCAGTTGCCAGGCCCTACAAGTGTGGAAATGGCAGCTGAAGTGCTGCAGGACAGTGAGTACAAGTCCTCCATGATGAACTGGGGTGGCAGGATGCAGGCTTGCAGAGCAATTGGGCGATCTTTCGTGTTTTCCAGGACTTCTCAGCAGGGCCTCCCAGCAGCAGAGAATCATGCGTGGCGTGAGACATCAAATTTAGTTTTCAGCGTATGCGCTCGTCCCCAAAGTTGGGCGAACGACTTGCCAGTCCCAAGATTCAAGTCACGCGTCCTGTGGAAAGCGGTGCGACAACGTGTTTGCATGAGTTCTCTCCAAAAATCACTTGCTTCCCAAGGCTCCCTCGCAACCGATGTTGATTCTTGATGCAGTTGGGGACAGTTTGATACGGATGCGACATGTTTGCAGGCAGATGCCGATCAGAGCTGGCCTGAGCAGCACGCTGATGGCACAGCATCCACTGCTCATGGTTCTATGCTTGCGGCACAGTCAAGTGACTCGCAGAGCTGGAGGTGGCAAGAGGAGGAGCGAGTGAAGAAAGCACAGCAACAGGAGGCTACAGCTTTGCCCCTAGCCGTTCAAGCTCTGGTGATCTCACTTCAGGCTCAGCGGAAGTTCAACCAAGAGCAGGAAAGGCATGCAGAGGCAGCGCTGTACCTTTTGAAGGGCTTACAAAAGGTTGCATCGGCAACCGGCGGCTTCAGGCTGGCCGCCAGCGGAAGCGGGCCGAGGCGCGCCTGTCGGCTCAGCTCGAGGAGGACATGGCGAAGCAGGCCTGGCCAGTGCTTGGCTTCCGGCTATAGCTCTGGCCTTCCATGAGGCTGCCGAAGCTAAGCTTCAACAAGACGAAGCTGAGGAGAGGAAGAAGCGCAAGCAGCAGGCGGAATGTGCATTTAGTTCTGTCGTAGACCCGTAGCACCAGTCTCTCAAGCAAAGTCTGCTACTGTGAGAGGAAGTTGCCAAGCAGATGGCAGAAGCAGCAAAGCAAGCTGCCGAGCAGAAGGCCCCGGAGCAGAATCCAAGCGCAGTCGAAATCTGGCTTTGGGAACCCAACCGCTGATGCAGGCACTGCAGAAGCAGGAGGAAGCAAAGAAGGCCCCGGAGCCACCGCAGTGCCCGTTTCAGTGTGAGCTTCAGTTTGCCGACCTCTGCGACATCTCCATGAGATGCCCAAGCCTGCTTTCCTCGACGATCAATGTAAAAATCAAAACATCTTTCGGCCTTTTGGAAGCATTGTCACAGGACATTGCATTGATGCAAGCGCAGATAGCACGGCCCTGAGAGCAGCGATCGTCACCGGTCGTACCGATAAAGCATCAGATCATGACAGTGTTAGGCAGATACCCACGTTTTTTTGGACTCGCTTGATTTCGCCTAAGCCTTTTCGTTTCGATTGGCCACACTGCCGTCTGCAGACCACATGGAGATCAGTAGTGGCTCCTGCGGGCGACGTCAACGTGTCATGAAGACTCGGACGCCTCAAAGAACATGAGACATGCAGGAACCAGCGAACAGGCACGAAAGATGTCAGGAGATCATCACATTGCTACTCATTGAGGATTCATGCTTTAATGATGTTGACTGGACTGGCGAGCATGAAGGCCAATGGCATCACGGCACCTCGGAATAGTCGCATGGCGCAGTACCCAACACAGGAAAGGTGATGAAACCTGCTCCTGCGAGATGGCACGGGTACCAACGTGTGCCAAGTCATGCTTTGGTCGAGACGGCGGTGCTTCCGGGCCGAGTCTACTACAAAGCCTGGGTAGAGAAAAGCCTGGAGTCTGTTGAAAGAATTCCGCAAGGCAGCACTGGGAGGCACTGACAAGCGGCCGGGAGACATGGGGGGATTAGGTGATCTGATCGGAAACGGACCCCGCAGTGGGCTCCGGCAGTACGCGCGCCTGCGTGCAGTCGGCAGGTGGCTCTCGAGCTGCCAGTGATTGCGAATGGTAGATGAGTGGCACGCTGTTCCGCTGTTCGGGGTGCGCATGCCTTTGGGGATCTTGGCATCGGGGCCAGGTGCTTGCCATTCAGCCTTGCAACATGCTTTGCTCGTAGCAACGGGCAGCCCAGCATGATTATTGCTGGCCCAGCGTTCTTACTGCAACTTGACTTGTCACGGAGCCCAGCTCAGCACTGAAGCTGACGTGGTGCTGGGACCCGGGCAACCGAGCTTTCAGCTCTTGCTGCACTCTTGCTGAATGCTGGGCATTGGGCCAATTGCAGCGTATTTTGAAACGTGACCAATCTGTGATCTCAACCCACGAACAGGGCTGGGGATACCAGGATATCAGGAGCAGGTCATGCCCGTGTTTGGGTTTGCCAGACCCTGTTCTCTCAAACTCCCAACGTAGAGGGAAACTTGCAATCCGCTGCCGAAGGGTTGTCCTGCAGCTTTGTTGCCTTGGCTTGCCCTGCGTGCCGGTCGGGTCTCCTTTCGGAACATCTGTTATTGCCCACATAATGCGGTGTTCAGCCCCTTAGTTCAACTTGTCTGTGACACGATACCGCACATCACCGCACCCACAGCGCTCCGGAAAATCATGCGGAGATTTGCAGAGACTCGGATTCATTTAGGCTCTCATGGAGGACCAGGAGCGGCGACGTTAGGACCTCGAGAGCCCTTCCGGCAACACTTGGAATGCCGTTTGGGCCGTTGCCGTGACACACCGGGCTCAGGTGCGGAGGCGATACAGAAGATCAAGGACAAGCAGGCAGCTACTAGTAGCATGGAGCAGCAATGCCAGATGCATCACACCCTAGTAGCCGCGACTGCAAGGGCCAAGCCTTGGCACAGTACGAGGCATGCTTTGCAAGAGGTTCGTCACTTCAAGAGCCACCTGTCACACTCGGTCAGGCGGGAGCTGGAAGTCAGCAGGCGAAGCTCCAACAGGAGGCAACTGCAACAGGGAAAGTTTGGCTGCAAGTAGTGTTTGAGCTCCTTGGCAGACTCCGCGCTGTTCTGCACCATGCCACGACTCCGCTGTCGCGAAAGGTTACATCGGTTCAAGTCGTTTTGCCTCGGGCGTCATGGCGCTGGTCGCACCTTTGACGGGCACTGCTTGTTCCCAAGCTCTGCCGCTGAGGGGCGGAGCACCCATCATCCAGTCGTGCAGGTTGGAGACGCCAGGAGCTTGGAATTTGGGCACGTTTGCGTGCCTAACCGGCGCAGTATGCCTCAGCTCACGCCAAGCCTCCAGAGTGGCTTTGTTGGCGAAGAAGAAGACTGCAAAGAAGCTCCCCAAAAGAGAAAAAGGCAGAAAGAAAAAGCCCTTCGAGCCCGGCGAGCAGTTGGGTGTGACCGAGCCCTTGGGTTTTTGGGACCCCTTGGGGATCTCCCCCAAAGATGAACAGACATTCTACGAGTACCGTGTCTGTGAGATCAAGCACGGCAGAGTTGCCATGATGGCATGTATAGGGGCGATCGGCCAGCATTACTTGAGGTTTGGCTGGTTCAGCAAGACAACTTGGGGCGAACCCATGCCCTCAGGCTTCGCAGCAGTCTTCAGCAACCCTGCTGCCTTTGGCATGATCGTTCTGACCGCCGTCGCTGGACTCCTGGAGTTCACACTGTTCAAGGATGATATCTCGAAGGGAGCCGGGAACTTCGGTGATCCGCTTCGCTTAGGCCAGTACACAGATGACATGCGCAATCGCGAGCTCAACAACGGGCGCTTCGCGATGTTCTCCATCATGGGGATCATCGCTGCAGAGGGTGCCACAGGCAAAGATGCCATCGAGCAATTGGGCCTCTAAGCCTCAAGGAGGCCTTTTTTGCCGGTCTGTCCATTTGATGAAGATAGCAAATGTGCATAAACAAAATTCAGAGGTTCCAGTTTTCGCATAAAGTTTTCAAGCGCTGATGATCGCTTCAACCGGCAAACGCTCGCGAGCCGAAATATTGCCTGCATGCTGCCTGCTCTGCCTTGTGTGGCAGTGTGAAGCGCCCTCCGCCTAACTTAGAAGGCTTTGATGTCAAGGACAGCAGCGCATGTGCCTCCAGATTCCAGACAGACCAGTCAGAATGCATTGGATTCCAGCAGTCCCGTGGGCCCCAACCTGTAGCATCCTGTAACAAGAGGATTGCTTCTAGGAGCAGCAGGAAGCCATGACGACGGAGCCACCCGATGCTGCAATTTGGGAGTACAGTGCAGTTGCTTACGTATCAATTGCATTGGCGCTGCTCATTGCAGTTCATGTTTACTTCGAGTGCAAAGGCTTCTTGGCAGTCGGTAGCAAAAAATCATTTTCACGATCCGTTGCGTGTGTGAGTGTTCTTATAGCTGGTATTCACAGCTCTCGCGGACACCAGGAAGGATGAGATGGCACACGATAAGCTGGAAGCATGTCTCTGAAAGCTCCCGGGGCTTAAGTTTGCGATGTATGGCGATCTATAGATTGTGCTGCTTCTTCATCGTGGTCGTTACTGATGCCATGATGGTATTGCAGGCTGAGGATAGCCCGCTGGTAAGCTCGTGGATGGCTTTTGCCACCTTCACAGTATGGAGCTGGACCTTGATTGGATTCTACAATCTACTGGCAGCCTTTGCTTCGATCTCCGATGCCATGGGCATCATCCCCACCAGCGGTTCTGTAGCAAAGGTCTTCTGCTGTTCAGCCTGGGTCCTCTTCGAAGTACTGCTTCCGGTGTCCTGCCTGATCTGCCTTTTGGTTTGGTCAGTGCTTCTGCCTCTTGCATATCAGACATATGGCAGTGATTCCGGCCTACTGTCTGTACCGGCTCTGGCTGCCCACAACTTGAATTTTATCTTCATGCTCACGGAGACGTTCTTGAATAGGCTTTGCATTACCAGCTACCACCTGGTCTTCATGTTCTATTACGGTGGATTGTATGTTATCTTCTCGTGGTTTTTCTTCGCAGCCTATCAGTTTTTCTTCTACTTCTTCATTGATTGGCGGTATTCTTTTGTTTTGATCGGTTATACGGGCTTGCTCTGCTTGCTTGCCGTATTCTTTTTCATCGGCAGATGCATTGTGAACTGTATCAAGCCATCGCTGTATACTTGGGAGCTTGACCTACAGTCCGGCACAGACTGCGACGGAACCTCTGACTCCTCTGATGTGGACGAGGCCTAGTCATCTGTGGAAGGTGGCTTTAGCACGAGGCATGATGATGGAAGCTGATCGAGCCAAAAGAGCCGTGCTGTCGTTGCCGACATATCCGCTTAGCATAAAAGGCAGGCGCAATGCTGTCAGCACAATGCCCGCAGTCGCAGGAGGAGGACCGTGCGCGAAGATACCAGGAAGAGAAGAATGCGAGAGATGAGGCTGGTGAACAGAACTGATTTTGCCTTACTGCATCTCTGACACGCTTCTCCCGCTGTGCCGGCAGGCAGCCTTCAAAGAGAAGCGTTGCTGCCACCATTGTGCAAACCATGCTGTCCCACGTACCCTTTGTTCCGTAAGACCTTCGTGCCCGTGTTGAAGCAAAGCTTCAGGCGCCCGACTGCCGAGGCATTTCACTGTATCGGATTGTCAGTGCCCAGAACTTCCACAGAGCATGAACCCTGAAACAAGTTTTGCTTTGTCCAGACAGGGCCATGCGCTGCTTGTCCTTTTTTTGAGGGTTACTTGCTTAAGGGGTCTTCGCTGCTTCCATGCACTTCCAGCTCGGCCATGTGCCGCCCAGTGCTGCATGCACAGAGCTCCTCCGCGATCCGCTGAGCCCGACGAAGGAAGCCGAAGCTGCCTCCGCCTCGAGCCTTCTGAGGAGGGTTTGGATGGAGCAGCCGCCGGTCAAGAGAGCGCGCCTGGAGCCTGGCGAAAGGCTTTCGGCTTCTAATGTCTAAATCAGGCATAAATGCGGCATAAAGCATAAAGCAACCAGCCAAGCTGACAAGAAGCAAGGTCTCCTTGAGCCGGCTTCCATGGCAGCAGCAGTGGCCCGAGGCCCAGAAACCTGGAGTTGATATGATAGTTTGTTCTCACAACGAAATTGAAGACTTTGCCAATTGCATGCATTTGACTCTGAACAACGACATGCAGCTGCAAGACCGGCGATGCAAGGAGCTTTGGACGCCTGCAAAGAATTTGGAAAGTTTCGATGTCAGCCGTGACAAGCTGACACTCGTCTGCATCTGTGCAATTTCTACTGGGAGAGGCAGCACGCGCTCCCGCCTGTGGTCGCAGCATATCGGAACCCGACTGGACTTCCCTCGTGGTGCATCCGCACGGTTTGGCTTTGCGAACATGGGGAGCAATTGACGCAAGCATGAGGCGCAGCTCCTCGCATGTCTTCGCATGCCAAGGTTGGGAGAGCTGGCAGCCGGAGGCCCCCTGGCTCCCGAGCTGTTGCCGCGGGTGGGCACCAAGGAGTCTGACCATTCCGTACAGTCTAGACTTCGGATAGCGTGGTTCGAGCAGATCAGAGACGCAAACGCTTACTGTAACGATTCTGGCGGCATTGCAGAGCAGGGGTTGTAGGTACAGGCAGTCATCTTCAAGGTTGGGAAATGTTGGGAATATCGACCTAGCTGGCCAATTGTGTCCCTGGGATCCGACGACCTACGTAGGTGGCTGGTCGCATGCCACACCTGCAGGAGCTTGACAGCGACGACATGGACCTGGAGATGTGGCTGTGGACCTGGACAGCCAATTGCCTGCGACCACCTTTGGAAAAGAGCTGCCTGAGATGTTGACACTGGAGGTTGACTGGACTTTGCAATTTGGAACCATGGTGCTGGCAGCTATGTTCGCTTGGATCGTGATCACACATAGGTGCACGCTCATCATCACCCCTTTCAGATCCAGATGATCCAGATGGTCGGTCAATGCAAACTGTACACGATTCCAAGTTTCTGTCCGGGATGGACATTGGAATCAGCCACCTGCCCAGCTACTGGGCTGGACAGATGAATCACGCGCAACAACCAGATCGATAGCTTCGCGGCTGATCCAACACTGGCAAGGAGCAAGTTGAAAAAGATGACTGCGAACAGACACGAGTTTCTTGTGGCTTCCATTCGCACTTACGGTCCACCTTCCGGATCCTTCCGGGGCTTGGGGTGCCAGGCAAAGCAAACTGAAGAGGATGCAGATGGAGGGCGCAGCTCGGCTTCGTCTTCGTCCATGTAATCCGTGACTTCTGCGCTCTTGACTCAGGCGGCGTTCCTCTCGAAGCAACTCGAGGAGCAAGCTTTCCAGAAGGCTCACTTGATGCAAGACAGGTGCTGATGCAATACAGGGTAATTTTAACGCTACGCCGTCCGCCTCGGCTGAGCGGCAGGGCGAGGGGGCAGTCGATGTTGTATACATGCTAGGGGGGCCTCTCAACCCCAACCTTTACACGGTTGTTGATACCCAAGTGCGAGGAAAACGGGGGGCAACAGAGTGGAGGGGGGGGAGGGGGGGAGGCCGACAAATCAGGTAAAATGAAGGGAAGCCGGACAAGGGGGTGGCAAACGAAAGCAAAAACAGGGTGTCTCCAAACATTTGGACTGCAGGGAGGAGGATTAGGTGGAGGGTACCTGAGGTAACCATCAAGACGTCTGGGCCTCTGGCCTCGGCGGATTTGCTGTAATGCCGCATGCCGCACCTTCCAGGCAGTGGAGAAGGAGGAACAGCGGAAACGCTCTGAGCCCAGAGCGTGCCGATCGTGGGGTATCCATTGCAACTCTCGGACACAGACCAACTGAGCACAAGTATCACATTCCAGCACTTGGAAAGTATTCCAGAGGTCGTGAGCGTTCGGATCAAGATGCGGCAGCTGCTATGGAGGAGGAGAGGCAGCAGGCAGACGATACTGCCCGCAATAGACTCATAGACGTTACCTGGCGCACTGGTACATGAGAATGTGGGTGTGTGTCCTGTAAACATCCTTGTGCCTCAGTCCATTTTGTAGTATCTACTTCTCCGCAGTATATATCAGGTCATATGCAAGTACCATCAAGTACCGCCTTATGACGTGTCTCCTTCGAAGCGTGCGTACCGACATTCTCACGCTTAATTGACTAATGTATGTCTGCCTTCCTTTTCAGGTATGTGCGGGTGTGCATGCAGTCGCTCCGTTGCTTTGTGTGCGTGCCACCTGGTGTCTGCCGCCCTGTAGGTGTTGCGGAGAAAGCAGCGCGAGAAGGCTTATCACGCGGCAGTGCGGAACAGTTCAATGTTGCTTTGATTTGGTCAACAGCAGTTTCGCAGACACGGAAGCTCGGATTTCAATGTTTAGCTGAAGGAAAATGCCGCCTTTCTCCAGCAGCAAATGAGTCAGAAGGCTCCGTTGGCTGATGGACTGCATGGGTACAACGAGATGATACAACATGGTTTCAAAGAGCACTATGAACATATGCACCTTCGTCTCGAAGTCGTCGTGCTTGCGACATGCAATTGGCAAACACCAGACACGCGAATTCCACCAACTGCATGCACGGTCTTGTCCGGCTAGACGAAGTCAGACAGACTCGGACTGCCCAGTTTGCGACCAAGCTGGCGAAGGACCACATGACGCAGGCTCCTGCTCCTCTGCCTTCCGTCATTTGCAAAGCTCCACTGCCGATCGTGACAACCAGGGCTCACTATGTCCCTAGCAGCCAGACTCCAGACTCAGGAAGCGCATAAGAAGAGGGGGATGACAAGAGGGCCTTGAGGGTTGGGGAACCCAGGCCAGGCCCAGGGGCCAGGGCTTAAGACTTCGCAGAAGTTTTCCCGAAGCCCGGTTTGCAGCAGTGCAGGTGGAGCAGTCGATGAACAAGGACCCGCCTCCGCCGGGCCATGCCGGGCTCAACTTGCGGAGAATTCTTCGGCTCTAGCACTAGGGAAGTGACCAAAAACACATTTCGCTTCACACAGTTCCCCTCTTCTTCTGTTCTCGCAATTGCCGTCTAGTCAGCTAGTGTTGCAAGACTGGCACATGAATAAGTTTGCGAGAGTTGACACCGTTCAATCTGAGCTGGAAGGTGAATTCCCTAGGTGTACATATGTCCTTAAGATGAATTCCGTAGTGAATTCTGCGAGGAATGAGAACGGGCAAAACTCGCAGACAAGTAACTCATTATGTGCGCGGAGTGCGAGGCTTCCACGGCCCTTAGCTATGTCTTGCTCCATCAGTGTTAGACCGTTCGGAGTGGATTGCACGAAAGTTCAGACCTTGCACTTTTCGCCGTTTGAGGAGAGATTGGCACGGGCCAAGCGGCCTGGAGCCCGATTCCGGAAGTGAGGAAAAGTGGGACTTCGTTGTGATTAAGCTTGGCAAAGACACATTAAGAACGTACTCGTTCGACTAAGGCTCATGCAGAACCAGCTGCCAGCTGAGGCAGCCATCGTGCCATGCAAGCACCATGGCATACCATGACTCCTTCCCTCCAGAATAGCCTCGACCACTTGAGACCGCATTGCCCATGCGCTGTCAGGGATGAATTGTCGGTTGCCAGTTGAGCTGCCGTCCCAATCGAATTCGGGCATGAGCATCGTGCGACATACGAGTCCTTGGGCACGTGGTTGGAGATGTTCGACGGATCGTTTTTTTCTCGTATCTGATACAGGACACATTATATAGACAACATGGCAAGATCGGGATCTCGTTTCGGGAATCGGCAATGCAGGGTGTAAAAGCTGCTTGTCCAAGACAGATCAAGGCAGTCTCACAGCATGTCGATGTACACGGGCCAAAGCTGTGTCCTGCTAAAACGGTGGGACTGCGCGCAGCGTGCCGTCGCTTCGCCTTCTGAAAGGCATGGTTAACGAAAAGAGACAAATTGCGGCGATATTTGGCTGCTCATGAGCAGCTGTTTGCACATCCATTCCTGTCCCGGCACTACGACGCAAGAGTGTCAGGTGCTATGTGCAGCTAACGGGCAGTCAGGGCAAGGTGCGGTCTACTGCAGTTCTACCAGATATCAGCTTTCGGGTTTGATCTGGAGGCCGTTCTGCTAACAAGCCTGACGCAACATGCTGCTGAACGCGTGTTGCTCCCAGTTAGATGCACCTCATAGATGGCATCATGGACTCCAGTGGCTTGATTTTTGCTTGCAGGGTTGTTTGAAGCCTGGGGCAAGCTGCTTAATGTTTTGCCTATAGGCCGTCGACCAGCTGAGATCGTCAGGCTTTGTGGCAGAGGCCGGGTCCATATCCCAGAAGCACATGCCCGGGGGTTCGGGGAGAATTTCTCGAAGCGCATCGTCAGCGAACCCTTACCGAGAGAGACTTGGGTGATTGCAGGTCGAAGCCATGCCTTCCAAGAAGGAAGAGGCTTGAAGTCTTGAAGTTCCTATGTTTCAATTTGAACTTGGACGGGAAAAGTTGGTATAGATTATTGATAGTTACCATGCAAGGCTCATCAGCGAACAAGGCAGACCAACGACAAGTCCGTCATAACATGAAAATACATTGTCTTGGAGAGGTCGCACAGCAAAGACATAGAGTTTCGACATCGGAGTATTGATAAGCCATTCCGGCTCACGGAGGATAGGAGCGCAAATGCGCCCAAGTAATCAGACTCTATTGGGCTTTCGGCATGAAAGTTCCGAATTGATAGGATCATGTGTGAAGCAGCGAGTGCGAGATGTTGGGTTTTGGAATGGCTATCTTGCTTTGGTGCTAGAGAAATGTTTGTGTTGCATGGGCTTGTTCATTTAAATGAGGTTGCTAGAGAATTGTGCATCTGACGGCTTTGAGAATTGAATATCGGAATTTTCTGAGACGTCGAAGATTCAAAGAACTCAATCTAAATAATTGATCTTAGCCAATATCTCGAAGAAGAAGAATATTTCGACTCTTCTCTATTTCTCCATTATCATTTCTATTATAAATTAATATCCGATATTCTTCCAAATTATTATTTCTATCTTATTGATTAGATATTCATTATATCCTTATGAATATTTATATATATAGAAAAATTCTCTTCTCTTGAAGATTCTCTTCTATTTTCTTATCTCTCGTTATTTCTTTTTCTCTCTCTCTTTTTTCATTATTTCTTTCTTACTTCTTCTAGATTTGAGGACGCGTTCTTTACTTCTCTTTTTTCTCTTTTTCTCTTTCTCTCTCTCATAAATACGAATAATATATTTATTATGATAATTTTCGAATAAATATTATATGATGAATCAGAATCCATCTGCAAGATAATATTTATATAAAAAAAAAAAAAAAAAAAGATATATATTTTACTTATATTCTGAATTGGAGATATAGAAATTTAGAAATCTATGTTAAATTTGTTAGATTTATCAATAAGGGTTTTAACTATTTTGGAGAGAAAAAAAATTAGATTTTTAATTTTCTGATTATCTTGAAATAACGAATCGATCTTCTCGATATTTCGAATATGCGCGAATTATTATTGAAATTATTAATTCTGGTAGGTCTTCGAAAAATTATTCGTAAAAGAATTTTTTGTATTTTGGAAATGTGTTTTCGTATCGTGCCGAGTTGGGTGTGAGGTAATGATTGAAAAGAATAGATATATTATTTTCTTGGGATCGGATTCGTTTTATACGTGTATTAGTAAATTGAACGCTCTATTAGATTCGTAGATAAATTAATGCAATAGTATTAAAATTCTATTCCGAAATCGGTAATTTCTTTCTTTAGATATGAGTTCTTCTTATAGGGTTTTATAATAGTATAATTTGCAACTTTCGTCTAGGGTTAGAAATTTTGGGAGAGATCTTAGGCAAGTACACCCGAGAAATTAAAATCT